CTGGCTGAACCAAAACCATATCGTTGCGTAATTAAAAATACACCGTTGACGTTTATATATGGCTGTCAATGTGACATTACTTTTGGCGGTAAATTAGCACAAAAGTCAAATAGGTTTTTGTATTGTAAGTACATTGTGACCTCTTGAGTTTGTTCAGGTGTTTCATTTCATTGAGAATTTGTTATGAAACCATTTTGTTTGGTTTTAAATGACGTGTAAATTCTTGCAAATATTTTTTCTAAACGCTTACCCACTAGGGGTTTTACCCTAATTAATTATTCTATCATGTACAGAAAGATATAATTTCGGTCTGTACTAAGTATCTTAGAAAATAAATAATTTTTTACTTGTACATAGATCTATAATATTATTAACTTTTTATTACCAGCTGCGATGCTGCCATATTTAAAATTTTATGTTTGCTACTCCAATGTGACTTGCCATTTAAAAAAAAGTGATTATCCCAAAGAAAATAATCGTACTGCATTTTAAAAATATTATTTTATTTATCTTAGTTTTAAAATTATATTAATGTTGTAGCATTCCTGTGTAGAATGAGTGTGCCATTGAATTTAGGAATGATTCGGCTAATAATTTTATTTGTGTATAAAGTATGAGTTCAGTCGGTGTTAGGGAAATCGTTACTGTAATGCGTACCTATAGAGTTGCTTTTTGCGCAAACTTTACACTACGCGTTTCGTTTTACTCGATATTGTGACGCCAATAGACGATGTTCCTACGCTTTGAATAAAAAGTAATTTTGTTTTTAAATATTTTAAAGTTTAAAGCATTGCTTTTTTAGGTTTATTTATTAGGATTCTCATACTATTCGTTATTTATTTGTATGTGTAATTTAAATAGTTTTTACTTTTTATTGGTGTTCATTAAGTTTTATCTGAGTATGACCGGTTATTCTTTGTTGCGATTGTTAGTCGGTGGAACGAATTACGACCTTATTGCAATCAAAATAGGCTCTAATTTAAAAAGAGGTAGATTTTTCTAATAACATTTTGCATTGAAAATAACTGAAAATGTATTCAGTCTCAAAAACAAGACCTTCATAGCAAATAGACAACAGTTGGTATAATTAGTTACGAAAATAACTTGAGAATAACAATTAAGTTCGTTGCAGACTAAAGGCTAAGTTAATAGGTAATAACTTAAATTGCAAACTCATATATCTGACTTAAATTTTTATACATCTTATGTGGGAATGTGCGATTTAATAAAATTCTAATTTTGATACGAAAGAATACGTCGACGTAGACTATGGAGCTGCACTAAACGACCTATTTAATCTTGTGTAGCTTTTACGGCCAGTCGTTTTTCTTTTTTACGGAATCTGTATCTATGTACTGTTAGACGACGAAAATCAACTAAATGAACGTCACTAGTTTAATCTATGTTATCGACAGCACTAGCTGTCATATTGACGATGTCATCTGTCAAATGGGACAGATTAGAAAAGTTTCCCGCGCAAAGTGAAGGGACGCGCGTTACTGGTGGGAAGTTGGGAGAGCACTGTGTTCTGTGTTTTTAAAAGAATCCGATTATAATAAACTTTTAGATATTTAAAGTATGGCGTTTTACTTAAAAGTACGTACTTTTTACTTTAGTCTGTAGTTGTTTACCACGCATTGGAATAGGCAAATCTACAATTAGATTAGTAAACTTTAGTCCACAACAAGCTTATTTCTCTTTGTATTTTACTGGTTAATTGTACTTACGTATGGGTATTATACCAAGCCTGCACATGAACAAAAGGAAATTACTTCGTTCGGATCATTGAGTGCGCGCATAAAACCTGTGACGCGTGTGACGTCACGGTCCGGTGCGCGTACACAGCCTGTGGCGACAGGGTTATTATGTTCGTATTATGTTGAAAGCTGTACAAAGCGGAATTGTAATCTGTCTCTGAGGTTTTCTGTGGAAAATAATGAAAATTGTATTACTATTCGGGTTTTAAAATGTTGATCGTTCCTAAAGTAGACAAAAAAGCATACCTACAGTTTTTTTTGAGCTTTGCCACCAAGGAACAATAATAGAAAAAGGGTTAGCCTTTTTTCTTACTTTGCAATTGAATAACGTTAGGCGATTTCATGATCTATTTGGTAACTAAAGTTCATATAGATCTGTATAGTAATTTTCGTGTAACACGGCCAATAAATAGGTACACGTACACATAATAACAATGACACTTAATAGATATCTGTAACGTAACTCCATGTAATCGATAACAAAAGAATTAATAATAGACAACCAGTTCTAAGGTCGTATCGTGTAAAAACCTACTAATGAGCGTAACAAAAGAAACCCGTTTTTAAACCAAATTATTGTTAAATTATGTTTTCATGTCAGTGCCATTTGTTGTTATTCTTATTTTAATGAAATGGAATATTGTTAAGAACTATTCTGTATTGGATTTATGTGTAATAATTAAGTATCGTGAGATATAGGTACTAAAGAAATTAAAAAATACGGCTTACACATGTGACATCACAGCTCTCAATTATGAGCCCCGTTATGGTCTGAAACGAGACGAGCCTCTTCAAAAATTTTACGTGTGGAAGCCGTAATTTTTAATTACGTAATTCTGTGTTGTATTTATATTTAAACTGTCAAACAATGCCCTACTAAAACCAAATATTTAACTATTAATTCGGCTTTATTTATTATTTTTAGTATTAGTAATGTGCACTTTTTTATTATGAGCTTTATTTTTTTGACAATATTTTGGATAAAATGTGGCGGAATAACACTAAATATATAGGTAATGTCGCTAAATATTGAAATATTTTTTTTGTTTAGTGCACATAAAATAAGTTGTTTTTGTTTGTGTAGCCATTTGCATGGACTTGCAGTTTTTTCACTATGTTGCACGCTCATAAATTATATTTTTTAAATATTGCAATACATAAAAGGTGCCGCTAAGGAGAGTTGCCCTGAATTCTGCCATTTTCATAGTTTTATATATTTTATGTTAATATTAAACTTATTAAGCATAAGAGAATAAATTATGTACCTATTTTAAAATATAATTACAGTACGGATGAAATATCTTGGCCTGTCTGAAGTTGTTATTAATGCATGAGGAACAGTTAAATAAGTTCGAATGAGGGCTACCATCCAGATAGTGCTTAATGTAATAGCAGGTCTGTTTGTCCAATCACAGTAGCTGTAAAAAATTAAATGTCCCTTAATTTGACCCTACCCATTTTTCTATTGGACAAATAAATCTCGCACTTTATTTTAGCGCCATCTGTTGAGCAAAAAAGGTATCATTTATAACTATTGACTTACAGACTATACTAGACTATGACTGGAGTATGCAATGACTGCACGGTTGGTGCGGTGGCTGGGCAACCGGCTGCCGTGCAACGTGTCGCGGGTTCGATTCCCGCACGGAACAACACTTTGTGTGATCCACAAATTGTTGTTTCGGGTCTGGGTGTCATGTGTATGTGAACTTGTATGTTTGTAAACGCACCCACGACACAGGAGATAATCCTAGTGTGGGGCAAATTTTTATTTAAAAAAAAAAAACTTGTCAGGCCAGCAGATTTTGCTCGTATGAGTGGGTTGAGGGTTAGCCAAAGAATTACCCACCTAGGAATTAAAGTAGTCAAACAATTGTACCTATATTTACGTGTGTGTGCAACTTAGGGCAGTATTCGAAGAGTAACAGTTCATATTTACAAATTAGAGTTCGGATACTGGCCAAAAGTACCAAAGAATAATAATAGAGAAATAACTAACAATAAATTGTATTGTAACTGAGTTTATGTGTTTTCTTACGATATTGTTTCCTTGCAGTACGTGAGCGATAAGTTCAATGCAATTCTTGCAAACTTGCATTACGAAATACATCCTTATGGCTTATGAAATTAAGATATGCTTGTAAATGCTAATTTATGTCAGTACCTAATCACTTTACTTTTGAATAAATAAAGTAGATATTAATTTGTATAGTATGATCCATGTTTGCATGATCAACTCAAACTTCAGTATTAACCAGTTATATGTTATTGGTCCTATGTTACACCTTATTATACAAATCGAGCAACGTACTCGGTAAGTAATCAAAATTCTAAATTTAAAATTTCAATCGGTAAAAGTATTTCAAATCTTATAACTCTTCAAACCCCGTTATGAATTCAGAAAGGTAGATCATCATCAGCTCATCGTTGTGGTGCAGTGCAGCACTAGGCTCGATCTTCAGCTCTACGCATCCAACAACTGCCAGCTACTACGGATTGTCACTCTTGTTTGAGGGCGCCCTATTTCTGGAAGGTAAATGCGTTATCGCGCAGGATGAAACTAGATTTTTAGTGCGTAAGTATTTTATATAATAGGTTCAAAGAATATTGTTTAGGCCCTATGTTCCTCGAACGCTTGTTCAGTTTCACATTTCAAGAAAGGTAAGGCTAAGGCCAAGGGTTACGAATTAACATAATTCCCGCCTTGTAGAAGTTGCGTAACTCGTCCTCTGGCCCTATTATATTATTAAACATGAGTGAACTCATTGTAACTGATTAATCAAATAGAATTAAAATTCTGGTCTCGTCGTAATTATTGAGAATTTTATAAAATTGAAATGCCCTGGTTCCGCCATAACGCATGTTCATGTCGATTGCGTCTTTTACAACCAACTAGGCAGTGTAATAAGACTAGAACAGTTTATGTAGATTTTTAGTTGTATGTAGGGTTTAAATCCTGTAATAATTAAATTAATAAACACAAATTTTCGTCTGGAAATTATTACTTAAATTATTGTCGTCTCACGGATAACGGAACGTAGCAGTCACATCGGCAAATAAAAAACGTCAACGTCAGTTGGTCACGTCAACAAACAAAACGTCAAAATTGACAAAACAACACGGATTCTTTTGCAAGCCCGCAGGCGAAGTAGTTCAAAACAATACGCGACCCGATAATGTGGGCCTAAATTATTTCTATATTAGAAAAGTTTGTGCAGTGAAAATTACTTTAATGTAATAATTATGGGTACCACTGGCCAGTCTATCACGCTAGCCAATAGCATTATCGGCGTCGGAATATTGGCTATGCCATTCTGCTTTCAACAAGTGAGTATTTTTTTTTCGATTGAGATTTATTTGAACAGCTTTACTGCTTTACCTCCTAGGCCAGTGTTCTAATAATAATCTTGTAAGAACCAGATTCTAGATCTATTGTGTTTTTAGGATCGTTAGCCTTGTCGTTGATATCTTAAATAATAGAACTTGAATAAAAAACTTTATGATCTCTTAACTTTTTATTACTGAGTACTTGACCATACAGACTATTGCATATCCTTGATTAGAATAATAATTCAAGTTTGAGGTCTGTGTTTCATAATAATTATCTATCTGTATATTATTTCATAATAATTATCTACATATTACAACATGTTTTGTGCAGCAGTGTTCAATACACCCATTTTTTACAAACTTACCTATGACTTTTGATTGTGAAACACACGTTTTTTTATGTTATTAGTCCAACCAATTAGAAAAGTGAGAAATTCCATTCAAGGCTTGATTACCGCCTTGTAGGCTTAGTAGAAAATAAAATAAACTTAATAATAGTAATCAAATTTACTTTCAGGCCTAAAGAAACTATTGAGTATTTTTTTCTGTGTTTTCTTAGGGACAAGATTCCTAATCCATTTTTATGATTTTGTCTAATAAAAATTCATTTATTGACTATTTACATGATCAAAAGTAAAGTTGTAGACAAAACTCCTAGTTATTTTTTTTTTAATTCAGAAAAAACTGGCCAGTAGCACATGTTTTCTGACCTTTTTTTGTCTATGATGGTATGATGTTTTTTTTCAGTGTGGTGTGTTATTAGCTACTCTAATTCTTGTGTTTATGGGACTAATCTCAAGATTATGCTGTTATTTCCTTTTAAAATCGGCTCTACTTGCAAGGAGAAGAAATTTTGAGTTTTTAGGTAAGTGTTAAGGAAATAATTTCTTTAAATCATTCAGAAAAGTAAGACACCAACAAGTCATTTTGTTTATTATACCTTTTGTTTTTGGGTCAAAATATTTATAAAAGAATTTTTTAACACTAAAAGAAATTTCATTTCACATTCAGCAGATATTTCTAAATACAACTAAACGTTAAACTTCTAACTCATAAATGATGTTTTGTTTTTATTATTCTATAGCTTTTCATGTATTCGGACAAGCGGGAAAAATTGCAGTTGAAGTTGGAATCATTGGTTTTCTAATGGGAACATGCATAGCTTACTTTGTTGTCGTTGGTGACCTAGGACCACAGATTGTAGCTAAAATGTTCAACATAAACCAAAGTGACATACTAAGGTAATATTTTATCTGTATTTAAGAACATTTATGCAAGCTGTTGATCTATTTTCAGCCTTATTTAAGCGAATAAGGTTCAAAATTGTTCAACAGCTAACCCTGCATGGATGCATTATGTATTGTTTCTTCTGAATATAAAGGAGGTTTATTTACAAATGTCGTCAATAAAATATTAATAGGTGTTTTAATGCAAAATAACAGTAAGTATATCTAATATAATAAGTAAGCAACAAAGGAGTACTCTTTACATAAGTGTGTTATTGTTTTACAAGCCAACGCAAACTATTGTTGTAGCCATATAATATACTTTGGAGATAGGTATTCATTTGTCATTTAATTAGATGTTAAGTTATTACAAATTATTGATTGAACCTAACTTTATGCAACTACTGAACCTAAAATAAATGAAAATTCTCAATATTAGCACAGAAGATATACATGTCTAGGCATATCTGTGTATTTTCTTACGGACACAGATGTAAATAATCTACCAGATGGATATTAAAATAAAAATTAGTCATCTACCCTATTCTCTAGAAAGAATAAAGCCCCACTATATTTAATATTCGATCCTTAACCCGTTGAAATTCATCCCCTAAATTTGTTCATACAAAAGTAGTCTCTAAACATTGGAAATAAGGTCTATAATGTAGTTTGTGGAGAGCGGTCACCGGTGACCGCTTGGAGATCTATGGGTTAAGTTGTGTGTGTGTTAATTAATGTATGTTCTTCCAGAACATCAATAATGGTCATTGTGTCACTGGTATGTGTTCTTCCACTGGGGCTACTAAGAAATGTGGACAGCCTGAGCAATGTCAGTGCAGCCACCATTGCATTCTACTTCTGTCTTGTTATGAAGGTAAGTCAATAAAGACTAGTTTTGATTGCACATTTTGTTCAGCGGCAGTGGCTGGGTGACTGGCTGCTACTCTGTATTTTGCATGAACAGCTATGAAACCTGACATCACGCCTTTTATCCCCGAAGGGGCAGTGCACATTACCGCACTTAATGCCACGTAACATGTAACACCCACTTTTCACTATTTATGTTATGAGTCCCATGTAATAAGGGGTGAGCCTATTGCCATATACCGGGCACAATTCCAGACTCTGTGAAACAACTGATAATTTAAAAAAATACAAAACAATAGTAATACTAAAAGAATACAATGTTAAACGTCATTACACACCTGAAGATGTTGATCTGGTCCTCCAGCTTTTGTAAGAAATTTAATTAGCCCGCGAGGGTATATAGTTTGGACAGCCCTGCTTTAATCCATTAAACTGTCAAAAACCGCGAGGACACCGGAGACCGCAACCTATTGTTCTTTAATTGTGTCTATAATGACGGTACTCAAAGAGTTAAATTTAATTTAGGAAAACTAAAACAAGAAATAAAATTAGTTAGTTACATATACAGTAACTAACGGATATTTGTATTTGAAGTTATCAACTAATATTGAATTTAAATGCTATGTATGTATGAAGTACCTATTTTATACAGATAACATAAACCCGGTATTTTCGTTACAATACAATTTCGTTAAAAATTAGGCATTGGAATGTCTATGTCGCGCGAGTTATAAATTAAAACAATTCACAATTGAAAATACTTAGCCTTACTATATAATATTATAAATCGGAAAGTGAGTTTGTTTGCTTGTTTGTTTGTTCCGATTTCACGCCGTAACTACTACACCGATTGCTTTGAATGTTTGCAGACGTAAAGTTAGAAGTCTGGATTAAATAATAGGGTATTTTTTATCCCGGAAAAATTTGATATTCCCGGGGGAAAACAAAAGTATTGGTATAGATGGCGCTGTATGTATTGGTATATGTCACATAAGCTACTTTTTATCCTTTTGTGACGCGAGCGAAGCCGCGGGTAAAAGCTAGTGTTAAATAAATAGATGTTTTAATTGAAAATAAGGAATTTTTGCTCTAATGTGAATTTTTGTTTACCAATCCTGAAGTTCGGCACATCATCGATTTTTGAAAGCTTGCATATATTTTGTTAGGCGTACGACGGCACATGCTTACCTTTCATGAGAAATTCACGTGGGCAATATTGCGGATAAAAGCTAGTTTAAAATAAACACATAACATTATTTATCCCTGAAAGGGTAGGCAGAGGTGAGGTGCATATTACGGCACTCAATGCCACTGTACAATGTAACACCCACTTTTTACTATTTATGTTATGAGCTCCATGTAATAGGGAGTGAGCTTATTGCCACATATATTTTTTAAAACCCAGTTATACTTTGCCCGACATTAATCGAACCCGAGACCTCATGTCCAGCAGTCGCACTTGCGACCACTCGGCCAACGAGGCAGTCAGTATAACATAAACATGCCTGTTTATCCGTTCCTTCGCTGATTAAAACCCGGAATGTTATTCATGCGGTTTTAATTAATCAGGAAAACGAGCGTCAGAATTTAATTAGGGGACATTGGGGAAAATCGACAATATTCCAAGGTACTAAAGTCGTAATTGGGTTACGTCATATCTTAGTTACGATACGACCTTCTCCAATGAATTATTGACGCTTATTGAAATCAATACCTAAGTCGTGTGTGGTTTATTTTATGTAATCGATGGTGGAATGCAATAGTACACGTAACGCTTGTTATATCCTAAAAAGGTAGATAAAGGTGAACTTACTGTTACTGTATTTATTTTAACTTATTACTATCTATACATATAAATAAAATACGAGTGTCTATGTAGTAATATTGAAATAATCGCTTTTACTACATGCATATGAATATACATACGATACCTACATACATTATACTAAAATAACACATTTTTAAATTTTTGTCTGTTAGTTTGTATTGGCTAATCTCTGAAATATCTAGACCGATTTTAACGGGACTTTTATTAGCAGGTTGCTGATTTACTAAGAAGTAACGTAGGCTACTTTTATTTTTTTTAAATACAGACATAGTTGCGGGTATTTTTTTTTGTATGGTACAAGCCGGTATACGAACAGACGGATCACTTGATGGTAAGCAATCGGCGTCGCCCATGGACATCTGGAACATCAGAGGCGTTACAAGTGCGTTACCGGCCTTTTGGGGATTAGGAGTTTGAGGATCGTTGGGTATTCAGGAATTGGGGAGATTGGGGAAGGGGAGGGTAATTGGGCCGCCGGTAACCTCACTCACACGACGAAACACAACGCAAGCGTTGCTTCACGTCGGTTTTCTGTGAGGCCGTGGTATCACTCCGGTCGAGCCGGCCCATTCGTGCCATTCATATATATATATATAAGTGTGGGAGAGCCATGCTTCGGCACGAATATATATATATATATATATATAGCTCATGAGAATAGCTAAAGGGTATAGCTAGTTCATGAGAAAGTCCATTAAATAGCTACTATAATAACCGCCACACGGATCATAAGCAATCGTAATAGATTGTGTTTGTGGTCCAACTAAAATAAAATAGGTTACAAAAGAACACAATAAAGGATTTGAATTTGGAAAAAAAGTGATTTGTCTATCACATCCTATGAGTTACTGAGCCAATAACTTAATGTAGCTTGCATAGTATTATATAATCTTATTTTATAACACACTTCATGTTTAAATATCATAACTATAGCCAATCTATTATTAATAATGTAATGTTTGCATAACATCTTTTTAGTCTAACCACTAGTGCATACGCTAATCAACTGTGTAAATATATTATGGTTTATATTATAACTTTCGTGAGACATACTGTGACGAGGAACTCGACTGGTTTGTTATCTTGCGCTGCGTAATGCTGCTCACGAATATGAGCCTCTAGCATGACTTAAAACTGATGGAGTTTCTCGTCAAAAAGTTACGTTAGGTTCCTTTTATTCTTTTAAGTGTGGAAGAGCCATGCTTCGGCATGAATGGGCTGGCTCGACCGGAGTGGTACCACGGCCTCACAGAAAATCGACGTGATACAACGCTTGCGTTGTGTTTCGTCGTGTGAGTAAGGTTACCGGGGGGCCCAATTACCCCCCTCCCTAGTCTCCCGAATCCCCGAATCCTCCACAATCCTCAAATTCCCAATTCCCAAAAGGCCGGTAACGCACTTGTAACGCTTTGGTGTTTCGGGTGTTCATGGGCGGCGCCGATTGCTTACCATCAGGTGATCCGTCGGCTCATTTACCGGCTTATGTTAAAAAAAAATATCGATGGCATTTTGACTGTATAATTGATGTGATGCCAATCCACAGATTATTGTTTCTTTTATGTGTGTGTGTATGTGTCCTACACTTGAAAGCAACAAAAACGGAGCCTCTAGATTTTTTATTTTTCATTTTATATCTTTAAAAAAATATTCGTTTTACAACAAAATGCACTCGTTTTAAAGGTAACTAAATTGCCTTTTATACGATAATAGCTTTCAATATGTTTCAGGTAATATTTGAGGCTGGTTTCGTTATGATGTCGAGCGACTGGGCTTCACGCGTAGAGATGTGGCGACCGGCTGGCCTGTTGCAATGTGTACCTATATTCTCTATGGCGCTCTTCTGTCAAACGTAAGTATTAAAATAACATCTTAAGGACCAATTTTTCAATCAGCAGTTAATTCTTTGCTGTAGAATAAAATAATTGTCAAATGTTCCAAGTTATTCCTTTGATAAAATTAATCTGTCGTTGGAAAAATCGGACCTAAGTTTATGAAGTCAAAGTCCATTTTTTTTTATTGACTGTCTTGCTGTCTAGTGGCGGCCAGCATTACTACCTAGCAATAGGGTCTCGGGTTTATTATGTTTAGCTCGGCCAGTTATGTTACAAATTCATTCAACTTATTGCAATGTATACCGGGTACACTTCAAAACTCTATGTTATTACTGAAATTTTTAGTACACTGAACATCCCAAAATTTTCCACAATCTACCTTACCCGGTATCTGAGACACTTTACCGAGATGAGGCAATCATGGATATCATGATTCTAATAACAATAAAACCCCTTGGTTTTATGCAATTGATGCAATAAATGTACAGGGTGCAACTTTTACAGATTTTAGTCGGTTCAATTACCGTGTGCGGCAAGCGAATTTTAAAAATATTTGAATGTAGTTTTCTTTCGTGTGAGGTAAGCTATTTTTTTAAAATCTTTGAATGCAGTTTTGTTTCTTTTTAAAAATAAGAGAATGTTTTCTTTGAGTAAAATTTTCTATCTTAATACCGGTGGTGGACGGAGGCATTACAAAATGCCACCCTGTATAAAAAAAAATTGGCAGGCTCCGCTTGACATGTCGCCGATATCCTTAATATTATATCATGTTCATCAAGGAACTATTAGTGACATCATGGATATTATTTGTTTAAATTACCGCTTAGATACTTGTACAGATCTTATACAATATAATCTAAACTAATTAAAATGTCAGATTATTATAAATATATTGTCAGTTTATTGTATATTGCTAGATAATGACTGATAACAAATTAAATATAGGTATCAATACTGCATGTACTTAAGCTACTATTTAAATAAACTGATAGTTTCAATTATATCCTCCACATCAACAGCCTATTTATTTATTTCAATTAAATAGTATAACACTACAGTCATAAAACCAAGGCGTTATACATTTCAAATAATTATAAAAATAATAAAATAAAAACAAAACAGAAAAGTCCTTAAATGACAAATTGCAAACTTGGTAGAAAAATATAACAAACAATAAGCAATAATAATAATAACTATAAATTCCCACTGTTGAGCAAAAGCCTCTTCTAATACGGAGAAGGTTTGAACATTACCATGCTTGCTCAATGCGGTTGGCGATTTCAAACTTATAATTAGAAATTATAAGCTCACGTTTTCTCGCGATGTTTTCCTTCACCGTTTGTCAGTGGTGTCTGGATAATCTTAGAAAGTACATATAACTCGGAAAAAGTCATATTGGTATTTGCCACTGGGTTTTGAACCCGCATTATCGTGCATGAGAGGTGGGCGTCTTAAGCCTCCGAGCCACCATGACGTAACTGTACTTAAAATATAAAATATGTTAATGTTACTTTACAGTCGCAAGTGCGACTGCCGGGCAAGTGGTCTCGGGTTCGATTCCCGGGTCGGGCAAAGTATTACTGAGTTAAAAAATTCTCAGGAGTAGCACGGAGACTGAAATTGTGCCCGGTATATGGCAATAGGCTCACCCCCTATTACATGGGACTCATAACATAAATAGTGAAAATTGGGTGTTACATTGTACAGTGGCATAATGTGCACCTCTGCCTACCCCTTCGGGGATAAAAGGTGTGATGTTATGTACTTTTTTACAGACAACTGTTCGAGATCTTCGAGTCTCTGCCGAGCCTGTCCCTTGAGAAGATGAACATAGTCACTAAGAACGCGATCAACATTTGTACTGCGGTGTACTTTACGTTGGGAGTCTTCGGATACGTGGCTTTTGCATCACATGAAATATCCGGTGAGTTTAGTCATTATTTATTTAAGTATGGTAGAGCCATGCTTCGGCACGAATGGGCTGGCTCGACCGGAGTGATACCACGGCCCCACAGAAAACCGACGTGAAACAACCCTTGCGTTGTGTTTCGTTTGTTGTTGTGTGAGTGAGGTTACCAAAGGCGGCCCAATTACCCCAATTGCGTTTAAACAAACAAATTCTAAAGCTCTATATATTATTACTAGCTACTTCCACGCGGTTTTAATAGCTCTGCTCGGCTCCTTTTGATCATAGCGTGATGTTCACCCTTATAGCCTTCCTTAATAAACGGACAATTCAACAAAAAAGAATTATTCAAATCGAACCAATAGTCCTGGAGATAAGTTGAAACAAAACACCAATTCTTACGCTTTATATATTAACTAGCTACTTCCGCGCGGTTTCACACGCTCTGCTCAGCTCCTATTGTTCGTAGCGTGATGTTTTATAGCCTATAGCCATCCTCGATAAATGCTCTATCCAACACAAAAAGAATTATTCAAATCAGACTTGTAGTTACGGAGATTAGCGCGTTCAAATAAACAAACAAAAAAACAAACTTCCGCTTTATATAATAGTATAAGAGTATAAAGATATAGATTGTTTTGAATTTAGTTCCTGTTTTTGGGCCAAGGTTACACAAATTACTTAAACGATAGTTGCTTATATACTTGCAAGAAGGAATGTAAAACATACATCTTGATTATTCTTGATTAGATGTTCAATATTGATAGAATTTAGTTTTGAAGTGGTATGTCTTATCGTTAAGATAAGTATTAGATGTCCGGATTGATAAATATAATAACGCATGCAATACATACTCAATTTGTTAGTCATTTACCTAACACTTAATAAATTATGTTGACTATCTCATAAGTCGATATATTGAATGTTAAACATATGATAAATATTACAATTTAATTCGTTCTTAAGAAGTATCATTATATATTAGAAACATCAATGATTGATTACATGAAATGCTTAACAAAAAGACTGTGTAGTTCTGTTTTTATTTATAGGTATCTTGTATAAGTATTAGAGGTCTATACACCGCGAAATCTATTTCGTTTTCGTCCCGAAGCAAAACAAAGTATAAAGTAAAAACAAAAATGATGTAATTTTTGACGTGATAACGTCTTATAAATTGGTTTGCCGGGTGACACTTCAAGAAACTGCGTTACGCTCCGCTCACGTTATGCGCTCACAATGAGAGCGAGTGAGAGGCACGCGTCCCTTCCACTCGGGCATGGTTAGCCCGCCTAAGAGCGAGAGAGACAGACATAAAAAGTGAAAGGCACGCGTCCCTTCCACTCGAGCACAGTTAGCCCGCCTAAGAGCGAGAGAGGGAGAGAGTGAGAGAGATACATCCTTCTTCCTACTATACGAATGAATATTCACATTAAAATTATTTTACCACTCAAAGTCGTTGTCACGTAAAACTTTCGCCCGTATACCGACTTTACAGGCAACCAATTTTTTCACATGAAACACTAGACGTAAATTTATAGGCACTATTCACATCGCACGTGCCACCCGACGAGAAATACCTCTTCGAGTATTACATGGGGTGATGTTTTGATAATTGACTATGAGTTCCTATGCACTTTCGAGGTTTTCTTGCAATGGTTCACCAATTATTTGTTGTTTTAAACATTTTATTTTTTTGGAAAACTATTGTATTACCAAGAAAGAAGGAAAAAAATCCATAGATTACGCCACGACACACAACAAGAATTTTGGAATTTGGAATGAGCAACTACCTACACTTCTAAATTTTTTTGTTGTTGACGTTCAAAATGTTGTGCCTTCCTGGTCTAATTGAAATAAATTATTTTGACTTTGACTTTGAATGCAGGTATACACAAAAACACCATGGGCGTGCTTAGCAGCGCAAAAGGCTGGAGCTCAGCCATTTTACTTCGCGAAGAAAACGATATAGATTTCACGGTGTACATTCTTCGAGAATCGAGAAGGAAACATGAGAGTCTTCGATTACCGTTTCCTAAAGATATCGAATAAACAACTAAGGAACAGTCAACTTGAAATACAAATTGTTACCTTCGTCATTTAACCCGGGAATCTCAACCAGGATAATATGCGGCCTGAAGCAAATAGTTAAATAAAATATCTTTAACCCGTCGAGCGCCCGCATTTCTTATGATCCAACGGGTGCACACGTGACATTTGGAGAAAGAAAGAAAGAAAATGCATTTATTTGGCCATTGGCACACGAAAACAAGGATCATTACAATAGAATTAAAAAAATACAGTCAAAATAAAAACAAAACATTAATAATAGATTTTATAAAAGAGAAAGCAGCATGGAGCATTTTTCTTATGATCCACCGGGTGCTCATAAGGACGGTCGAGGGGTTAATATCTTAATTTAGCTCACGAGATTGTCGACATGTGAAATGTGGATTCAGCGATCATTGTGCCGACAGTCGTATCTGCCAATGGCCTCATTGCCAAAAGCTTCGACCAATACCTGAGTAGGCTAGCGTTAGATGGTTGGGTCAAGGGCCTGATGCAGTAAAAGTATGGAAATAAAGAAAGGGAATTAAACAAATATAATATGTCCGCAATATGCTTCATAATTTATTTATATACATGTGTCTGTATGTTCTAGGTAACATCCTAATGAGCCTGAGTCCCACAATGGCGAGTGACGTCATCAAGCTCGGGTTCGTTATGTCGCTCGCATTCAGTTTCCCGCTCATCATCTTTCCGTGCCGAGCCAGTTTATACTCTTTCTTATACAAAAAGGTAATAGATATTGTGTAATACTATGAATATAGTAATAATTAATGACTCGACTAGAGTCCGTGTCTCATTAGTTAGAGCTTCTATTACGGCTTGAAACTAGTCGAGTTTTTCGTCAAATCATTACTTAAAGTCGAAAAACATAATAATTAATTTTGTGTCCCCTAAGGGGTAGGCAGAGGTGCACATTACGGCACTTAATGCCACTGTACAATGTAACACCACTTATTACTATTTATGTTATGAGTCCCATGTAATAGGGGGTGAGCCTATTGTCATATACGGGGCACCAGACTCCATGCTACTACTGAGATTTTTTTAAAACTCCAGTAATACTTTGCCCGACCCGGGAAACCCGAGACCCCCTGCCCGGCAGTGGCACTTGCGACCACTCGGCCATCGAGGCAGTTACATTTGTAAACATCTTTAAACAAATAAAATAATACTCTTTCTCTATCTCCAGGTGCACTCCTCCCACCACGACCACATAATCAACCACTCGATCCCCGAATCGACGTTCCGCTGCATCACCGTCGGCATCATAGGCGTGGCTCTATTCATCAGCTTGTTGATCCCAAACATTGAGCTAGTACTGGGCCTGGTCGGGTCCACTATAGGAGTCCTCATATGTGTCGTGTTCCCTGCTGCTTGCTTCGTCAATGTGACCTTTAAGAATACGAATGAAAGGGTTTTGGCTAAGGTGAGTCACTGAATTAATAATGTGATCTAAATTTACCCAAAATGTAATGAATACATGATTTAACTCGTTGAAATTCATCACCTAAATTTGTTCATACAAAAATTAGTCTCTAAACATTGGAAATAAGGTCTATAATGTAGTTAGTGGACTGGAGAGCGGTCACCGGTGACCGCTTGGGGATGTATGGGTTAATTTGTCAACACCATCCCACAAATACTGTAACAAAACCGAAGTAGGCAAACAAATCCCCTTTTTTAGGGGGGGGGGGAGGAATCATCGAATGCCTGCTCCCGCCTGGGTGAGGCGGGAGAGAGTGTCAGACTCTTACTGACTAAAAACCACCCCGTTCCTACTCCTGTACGTCGAGCCGGAGCCCCGACAACCCGTTAAGTTCTCCGCGACTCCGTATCGGCATCAGCTCTATTGGGCCCCATCTGTGGTGGACTGAGGTCTTAGTACGAGCATGTTTTACGTTTAAAGTAATCAAAATGAAACCTCGTCCGGCGCTCTGATTGGTTGGTTCATTGGAGCCGGCCAATCACAGCGCCGAACACGTACTCGTTACGATTACTTTAAACGTGTGTCTAAGTGTGGAAGAGTCATGCTTCGGTACGAATGGGCCGGCTCGACCGGATTGATACCACGGCCTCACAGAAAACCGACGTGAAACAACGCTTGCGTTGTGTTTCGTCGTGTGATTGAGGTTACCGGAGGCCCAATTACCCTCCCCTTCCCTAATCTCCCCAATCCCTGAATACCCAACGATCCTCAAACTCCTAATCCCCAAAAGGCTGGTAACGCACTTGTAACGTCTGGTGTTCCAGGTGTCCATGGGCAACGCTGATCGCTTAACATCAGGTGATCCGTCTGCTCGTTTGCCTCCTATTCCATAAAAAAAAACCTAAACCAAACTGGTACAGAGTCCTCTGACGGCTCTTTGAGCTTAAACAAATAGCCTATTTCGGTTTCCTTCCATTATTGGCGTCACTACATTTAACACATATTTTCCTATGTTCCAGGGCATCCTAGTCCTAGGTCTAGTGATAATGGTACTAGGAACATACGCCAACCTGCAAGCAGCAGAGACGAGCATCGAGCGATATGACGACAAATACACGCAGGAGAGAATCGACAAGATCGTAGAGGACTTCTTCGAGAGCAGGGTCAAAGAAGGTGCGGTATTATAATACTTGTATGAAGAGGGAGTAAGGGGGAGATAGAGAGTGAAAAGGCGAGAAAGAGAGATAAGGTTAAGGTTTGGGTTGACGAAGGTCATTGTTATTATCATCATAACAACGCCTTTTATCCCCAAAGGGGTAAGAGGGTAATTACGGCACTTAATGCCACTGTATGTATAATTTAACAACAACTTCACTATTTATGTTATGAGTCCCATGTAATAGGGGGTGAGCCTATTGCCATATACCGGGCACAATTCCAGCCTCCGTGCTTATACTGAGAATTTTAAATCCCAATAATACTTTGCCCGACTCGGGTATCGAACCCGGGAACCTTTGCCCGGCAGTCGCACTAGTCACCACTCTGCTAATGAGGCAGTTGACGAAAGTGTCACCACGTAATAATAACTTTTTGGCGTATACGTTGTTGGGAAGATCCTACTACCATTTACGAGGCGCATTTTAGACTCGAATTTTAGACAATCTCTTACTGAGACTGTCTAATACTAAATCATTCAAACGTTGTGGTACATTACCATCAAATAAAGTATAATCTTATTTGTTTTCAGATATGTATTTAAATCAACCGCAAAATGATTTACAAAATGAAGTTCAAAATAACATAGCATTAGAAAAAGAAGTAAGAAAAGATTCAGAAGTACAACCACCGAACCCCGTCCCACCGGAATCTCAATCTAACGAGAAAATAATTCACGCAAACAATGTTATGAAAACAGAAGAGAAAAAGCCACCACCATTACCCGAGCCTAAAGAAAATGAAGACAAAGTATCAGAAACACATCCAAGGAATCTGAAAAATAAACTAGAACAAGCCAATGGTGCAAGTAATGGTGAAGCAAAAGCTAAAGAAGTTAAAACACAATCAAACGAAGACAAAATAGACATAATGAAACAACAAAAACTCATAGAAACTATTAAACAACACGGTGAAGAACAGAAAGAACTAATTAAAGAACAAAAAGAGATTTTAGACGAAATATTGAAGACTAAGAAGGAATTACAGCAGAATAAGAACGAAGCTGACGAAGCTAAAGCTAAGAAAATAGCTGTTGAAAGTATTAAACAGATCGCAGATATAGCTATCAAAAGCATCGGTGGAGTCACAGAGAAGCCTGATCAAGTCAAAGATGATGTTAAAGTAGAACGATTGGAGAAAATGACTAATGATGCAGTGCAAGAGATAGCTAAGAAGGCTGTGGAAACTATAGAGGCTATACAAGAGATTAAGGAGAAGCCTGAACAGCCTGCACAGGTTGTAGAAAATAAACCTGCACAGGCAATTGCAAACAATTTGCCAGCACAAGCTGCACAAGCAGCTGGGGACAATCCTGCACAGGTTAACGGTCAAGTGAACCCTGGAGAAAATAAACAACCAAGCCAAAACCAACCGCAAGCACCTGCAAATCCACCAGTTTTAAATGCTATACCACCTTTGGTAAATGGCAAAGTAGAACAACCTATTGCTGTACCTAATGCATTACCACAAGTTGACAATATTGTTCAAAATAACGGAGCTCCCGTACAAAATAACGTTGTACCAGTAAATCAAGAAGTTAAACGAGCGATCAATGAAGCGAATAACCCACAAATATCAAACAAAATAATTGATAATAAGGCTCAAATTCCTGAAGCAGAAGTTAAACATTCCCATTCTCCAGACGAACCACAGTCGTATAAGCAAGGCGAAGACACACAGGGTAAAGCAGAAAAACAAATTGTTCAAAACGTGCCTCCTCCTATAGTTAATGGACTAGGTCATAATAAAATTAAGATAGATAAAAAACCATTGGCTGAAATTGATAACATAAAATTAATACCGGCTCAGAGCAATGGCGTCAATTCTAACGCACCAAAGGATCAAGTGAATGGAAATCCAGCATTAGTAAGACCTAAAAGAGAAGTAGTGGATTGTACGAAAACTATTTCTCTGAAGCCAGAAGATAGAGCGATTTGCAATGCCATGGCCGTTAGCAAGGAATCGCAGGAGATCCTAAAGAGTGTTGATATGAATGAAATAGCGTTACCTAAGTCTTTACCTCAGGATCCGAATTTAATACATCACTTAAGATCTCTAAAAAGTTTTGATAAAGATGAGAGGTAAAGAGATCTCTTTCTAACTTGGTTTTTTATATGCGTGATCGAATAATGCATTTATTTGTTGATACGTTTTACTATTTGTATTCTTGATATGAATTCCTTATAATTATATCATAAGATATAAAGACGGATTGGAATCGTTTTCGAAATTTTTGAGTATTATTGCTATTGCCATATTAGATTACAAATTTTCGATGTTTTATGATGGGAAATTACAATTAAATTTACAGTAAGTTATGAAAATATTCATAATAGATTCGATATAAATAGATTTTTGTTCGAAAACACACTGGCTTAGTAGCTTGAGAGACTCAAATAACATTAAAATACTTTCTTAATATTTGTATTGATACGGAAACCAGAATAAATTCTATTTATCTCGAATTTACACATGGCATTTTGTAGCAGTATATAATACTGATATTACACACGAATATATTAATAACTAGCTGTATATAACTTGGCTAAACTTAAACTACGCACTAGTTCAATGTGATATAACTTGTATAAGTTATTAATTTATTTTAATAAAGTATTCGTAAAACATTTTTACGTATTAGGTATCGACGCCCTTAGAAATCAGTCTATTGTTATATATATATATGAGATATAATAAATTAATTATTATGTTCCTCGGCTTACTCATGTAATTATTTGAAGAGGAACTCGACTAGTTTCAAGCCATGCTAGAGATTTCATGAGCAGCATTCCGCGACCCGCGACGCGGCGATTGTCGCGCTGCCACTGGCCTTTATCGAATCACTCCCTATCACCTCACCCGGGCGACAGACGTCATTCAATGACTGTCCCCCCCTTAAAAAAACATTGCTTAAAACTAGTCGAGTTCTTCGTCAAATAATTACGTGAGTAATCGAAAAACATAATAATTAATTTATTGTTATATTATTGTATGTTTTTCGTAATGATTACATTGCAGTGTTTCAACTGGCATAAAAAGATTTTATAAACAGTGAGCTTAACTTCATGAGATTTTTTTAGTCTATGTAAATTATTATGCTGCCTATTATATTTCACTGCCTCGTTGGCCGAGCGATCGCAAGTTCGACTGCTGGACAAGGAGGTCTCGGGTTTAATTCCCGGGTCTGGCTAAGGTATTACTGGGGTTTAAAAAAAAACTTGGTAGTAGCACGGAATCTGGAATTGTGCCCGGTATATGGCAATAAGCTCACCCCCTATTACATGGGACTCATAACATAAATAGTGAAAAGTAGGTGTTATATTCTACAATGGCATTTAAGCAGCGTAATGTGCACCTCTGTCTACCCCTTCGGGGATACAAGGCCTGATGTTATAATTATGTTATTACTAAATCATCTTCACCTTATAGAAAAGCTAGTAAGATGCAAGTTCCAAAAGAATTCTTTGTGTTGTTTGTTTTTGTGTTCAAAATATTTGTAATTCATCAGAAATAGGGAAACTTGTACTTACACTACCCATTTTTGTATTCGCTAACTATACAGTAAGTCGTTATGTAGGAAATACTAAATTATTTTACGTAAACTTAATAAATCGATTTACATGATGGGTATGTATCGATTGAATCAATATTTTTGATTTTTTTTTCATAAGCGCATAAAGTTTCAATGTGATCATGAGTAACTTGACTGATTGTGTATTATTAAATAAATATATTTTAAAATACTATTGCCTGTGTTTTTATTGTATTCCTTTACCATAATATACCTAACTACCTACTTCCGAGGGGTTTACCCATTCTGCTCGGTTCCTATGACCGTAGCGTGGAGTTTTGTAGCTTTTCTCGAAATTAATAACCAACAAAAATAATTATTCAATTCAGACCAGGGGTTTACTCTTCAATCCAATTCCGATCGTTCTACATTGATATTGTGGCATTTCGTACTCTTGAATTGCAACACTAACCCCCATTGCATCCGTATTAAAAGCCAAAATCATTTCTTTCGATTAGACCAGGACCTTTGAACGTCAACAAAATTTTTTTTTCTTTGGTAAACGATTCCCCTTAACGGTCTTGTCGACTAAATATATTTTAAAATAAAATACTGCCAGTGTTGAGTGGTGACGGCAGATTAATGAACCGTCGAACATAACTTTGTGGTAGTAGGTAAGTAAAAAAATATTAAAAGTGAAACTATTTGCTCATTCCAAGGTGTAGAGTCCTATGGAGAAGAACGAGCAAGAAACTCCGTATGTTACCCTATTCCAATCAGGTTCACAATACAAATTCTCTAATAACATAGTTTTATTGATTCGAATGTGCCAGAAAACGAAAATATCCAACGACCATAAATAATGCAGTTTAGAGCTGACCAGTCCTAGTTGACGGCGCCCGTTTCGAACAGGACAAGTACACCAGCACCACCCAACTCAACCATATTGTAGGGAATCGAGCGATCCAATGCACGTGCACCGCCAATGAGATCTTTGAGTGAGCATGACAACTCCAAGCTGACACAAATGCATTATACTTAAGTAATAGTACTTACTACTAGTCTAATTTAATATTAAGATAATTACAGGGCTCACATTTACATTGATTCATTATGCAAGTTTGTTGGATGCTGGGTCGGAGCCCATAGCGATGTAAATCAATGGCACCCTGCCTCTATCCCGGGAGTGACAATATACATTTTAGCAACAAGGCTGTAATGTTTACATGTTTGGTTTTCATTGAAACATCAATGTTTTTCGTTATCCTGTGGAGCTAGGCCAGCTTGCGTGGCGTCCTATTGCGTGAATATTGAATTAACTAAATGATATTGAGTTTGGCTTTATATTTCGTACGCTGAATGCTACTTTCACAGCTATGATAGGGGTTGTATAGTTTTGACATTGAATAATTATTGAGATTTTATTGGATAGAAATTGCATTGAAATTGAGGTTGCTGTCATGAGTAACCACCTAGGGGGTTTACTCTTCAATCCAATTCCGATAGTTCGACATTGATATTGTGACGTATCGTACACTTGAATTGCAACACTAGCGCCCATTGCATCCGTATTGCGTGGATGAACTACATTCGTTATTACTGAGTTAGGTTTTATATTCTACACTCTGAATCTGAATGCTACTTAACAGCTACAATTGGAACAAAGAAGATAATAAGTATTGGGGAAGATTGGGAGTGTATAGTTTTGATATTAAATAATTATTGAGATTTTATGTGTCCGTTACCCAGTCCATATGTTGTCGAAAATGGTCATTTGAATTTTATAGATAATTAGTTATGCGGCTTCTGTAATTGTTGCGCTTATAGTCTTTTAATAATTTCACAAAAACATTTCCTGCTGGGGTAACGTTCCCCAGCCAGACGTTTTTCTTTTTAATGGGAATAGTTAAAAATTACTAGCTATAAAATTAGTTGTCTAGATGAAGTTAACTTCACACAACATTAATATTGTGCCTTATTTTGTATTGGTTGGTTGTTTTTATTGCATAACAAATTTAAATTAATTCCTAAGATGCCATTTATAAAATATGATAAGAATCCGCTTAACCATTTCAAAGATTTAGCTAAACCAAAAACGTTACCCCAGCATAATCTCGAATAACTTCGCAACCGATGAAAGATCCAATACAAAATAAAGTAAGTACAACATTTACTTCTAACTATTCCCATTGGAAAGAAATAGGTCTGGCTGGGGTAACGTTACCCCAGCAGAAAATGTTTTTGTAAAATAATTAAAAAAACTATAAGCGCAACAAATTTAAAAATGTGCGCAACCATTACAGAAGCCGCAAAACTTATTATCTATAAGATTCAAATGACCATTTTTGACAACGTGTGGCCTGGTTAACGCACACGATTTTATTGCATTGAAATTGCATTGGCATTGAGATTTGTTTCAAGAGTAAGCATCCTGTGCTATTGGAGATTAGCGCGCCCAAACAAATTCTTTAGCATTATATAATAAAAAATATATAATTATGATAAGCTTATACTATTTTTTTTTACCTTCAACTGAACCTTACTAATCTTTGTATGGTATGAGCTATGGTATGGCAAAGCATCATACGTACTCTAAAACTTTGAAAAGAAAACAAATGGACAGACGTTTGTCTTTATGACTATGTGTATCCTAGATAGATATAAAATTTCTTGTACGCTAAGTAAGTAAGTAGAGGAATAAGGGAGAGGGGCACTGTCTAGTATTGGACGCCTTTCGGCTGTTGATGATGATGATGAAGTAAGTAAATATCATAAGTAAAATAATAAAACACAAACATAGTATTTATGGTAATTGATTTATTATGTTATAAATGCAAAAACAAAACTGAACCTTATTTAAATTCACTATAAATATAAAATAACTTAGATCTCCAACTTATTTCTTTTTTGTGTCCTTACTTTCATCTAGAACAGTTTTCTTTGACCTGTAAACAAACAAATGAAGTGGTTAACACTTATATGCGCCTTGTAATGTAATTTCAATGGATTAGACACGTTTAAAGTACTCGCTCTTCTTGCATTTAAAGTTTATTCTACATTGGCCTGAGTCCCCGTGGGATAAAAAGTAGCCTATGTTATTGTAGAGCATAATCTACCCTTGTTCCTTCATTCTGATCTTTTCAGCCATTTTAACGTTAAGTAATAAACATATACTCAAATTCACACTTACAAGCTTTTGTATTTATCTATCTACCTAATACCTTTAAACGAACAACTTATGTATATAATTATGTATAATATCAAGGATTTCGGAAACGGCTCCATCGATTTTGTTGAAATTTTGTATATAGAGAATTTTGGGAACTTTCATTTTCAGAAAATGTCACTTTATCTGTGTTGTCATAGAATAAAAAGCTCCCATATATTAGAATATAAAGGAAAATTTCGCTAAAGCATATTAAGTACAAAAAAGTCGAGAACTCAGGCGCCTTATACGCAGGACATTTGGGTTCAAACCTTAGTTCGATCGTTACTTTTATGTTCTCTATTTCATCTTTTTTGTTCTATATTTTTTCCTAATGAAAATAAATGTACTAAAAAACACCAAGCAAGGCTCAGTCATCCAGGTACTATTAGTAAGATTACCTTTTCCCCGTCTCGGAGTTAGCTTGGCTAGTATTAGACACGGTGGAGGCGGCGCGTCTCGTCCGCCTCGCTGGGGTCACCGCCTCGCTCTCTGACACTACCGGCGACTCAATCGGACTCTCCGCGTCTCCTTTCTGAAGTAGAAATTGTAGTTTATGTATAATATGATCGTGAAGACCGCCATATCATCATAACTTGTCTTACAAGATACTAATGAAAATTCGCATATATTTGCAGGCAGTTACAGACTTTAAAATAACGTTCAAAGTAAGTTTTTAGGGCTCTTATTGAGAGTGCTAGGACTAAGACCAATTGAAGTGCTTTTCTATTTTATGAAATAACATTTAAGCTATGTATTATTTTGTTTTTTTTTATTGCAGAACAAATTCAAACTGATTCCTAAGAAGCCATGTGCAAAATATGATAAGAATCCGCTTAACCATTTCAAAGATCAAGCAAAACCAAAAACGTTACCCCAGAAAATTCTCGTATAACTTCGCAACCGATGAAAGAACAAATACAAAATATGGCACAACATTTACTTCATCTAGACAACTAATTTTATAGCTATTAATTATTTAAATATTCCTATTAGAAAGAAAAAGGTCTGGCTGGGGTAACGTTACCCTCAGCAGAGAATGTTTTTGTGAAATAATTAAAAAACTATAAGCGCAACAAATTTAAAATGTGCGCAACAATTACAGAAACCGCACAACTTTCGACAACATCTGGCCTGGGTAACGCACACTATCAAATCTGCATGAAATAGTCCATACATACCCTAAGGTCAGTAGAAGTCCGCCTGCCTTTAGGCGTGTGTAGTGCTTCACACGCGCGGTTAAATGACTTGCGGCGGCCGCGCGCTGGACTCTCAGACCCCATCGGCACTGGAGAACTGTCTGGACCGTCCGCTGAGAAAAGAAGCATCGTAAAGTTAAAAAATTATAACTAATTAATTTAAAATACGCTATTGATGTTAAAAATACCTCGATCTGTCTTTCTTTTTGATAACAATATACATGACATAATTTATATTCGCATTTATTTTATTTTAAATTTTCTGTGCCTGCAACTTCGTCTGCGTGGAATAGTGAAGATTCACAGCTCCTCCCCTATAGGTGATAGCGTGAAATCACAGGCCGGGTCACATATTAATGTAGCTTTAGAGCAAGCAAGTACTTTTAGAGTTTAGCCCGGACATATATAGACAAAAATTTTAAAAACTATATTTTTGGCTTCGATGTCGATTGTAGATCACGACCTGAGTAGTCTTTTAAAAGAAATATTCGATATACATTTTTGACTTTCCTACGATTTTATTAAATGTATAGATCACAGGACTTATACAGACAAGTCCTACTTTTGAAAGTTAAATTCTGCAGTCAGTCCGCAGTGTGGCTAGCAAAAGCAAACAATGCTTTTTTTGAGGGGGGAAAATCATCGAATGATTTCCCTCACCCCGAGGCCAGAGGGAGTGTCAGACTCTTACTAACTAAAAACCGCCCCGTTCCTACTTCTGCATTTCGAACCGGAGCCCCAGCAACCTCTGAAGTCCTCTGCGGCTCCGAATCGGCATCATCCCTATTGGGCCTTATCTGTGGTGGTCTGATGGCTCAATGAGGCGCGCGCGGAACGCGACGCGCCGTACGCTCGGGTCTGGTTCTGGTCGGGCAGCGAGTCACCGATACTCGCCGCCCGCAGGCCCGTGCTTACGGTGGCCGGAGATCGTCTCGCGATCCCCGACGCCCGGAGTACCTCTCACGACGGCTGGGGCGTAAGGAGGTTCGTTCCCTCACGCGTTCCGCCTCCTCCTTAGTTAACCTGATTACTTCGTAAAAGGAGGAGACGGCATCCCAGTCTCCCTCGCTCCGTATCATGGTCTGAACCAGAGCCGGACGCGAGAAGTCGCCGTCGCCGATCACATCCCTGAGCACAGCGGTGCTCAGCCCATGCAGGACACCGCCACTGTATGGTCCACCGTGTCCTCCGAAGCAAACAATGCTAAGGTTTAATTTAACTAATACGATTGCATGAAAATGTAAACTTACCAACGTCAACAGATATCCTCCTATTGATTTTGGCTGCACGAGGCGTCACTTTGGTTTCTGAGGCAGCCCTGCCGAGACGCGCTGCAATCATTTCAAAAATAGTATTAAAATACGTCCTTATATATACCTTTATTTAGTTTACTCTTTTAGCTTTTGCTCAAGACATCGCAGTCCTCACTTAGTACTTAGACTACAGACCTCACGTGGGTGTGCGTTACCCAGTCCAGATGTTGTCGAAAATGGTTATTTGAATCTTATAGATAATTAGTTATGGGGCTTCTGTAATTGTTGCGCACATTTTTTAATTTGTTGCGCTTAAAGTGTTTTAATTATTACACAAAAACATTTCCTGCTGGGGTACCGTTACCCCAGCCAGACCTTTTCTTTCTAATGGGAATATTTATATAATTACTAGTTGTTAAATTAGTTGTCTAGATGAAGTAAATGTTGTGGCTTATCTTGTATTTGTTCTTTCATCGGTTGCGAAGTTATTCGAGATTCTGTTGGGGTAACGTTTTTGGTTTTGCTAGATCTTTGAAATGGTTAAGCGGATTCTTAACATATTTTGTACATGGCTTCTTAAGAATTAGTTTAAATTAGTTCTACAATAAAACAACCAAAATAATTTATAGCTCCAAGGTTATTTCTTAAATAAAAAAACACTTCAATTGGTCCCAGCATTCTCAATAAGAGCTCTAAAGACTTACTTTAAACGTTATTTTTTTAAAAGCTAGTAATTCTTTAACTATTCCCATTAGAAAGAATAAGGTCTAGCTGGGGTAACGTTACCCCAGCAGGAAATGTTTTTGTGAAATAATTAAAACACTTTAAGCGCAACAAATGTGCGCAACAATTACAGAAACTGCTCAACTAATTATCTATAAGAATCAAATGACCATTTTCGACAACATTGGCCTGGGTAACGCACACCTCATGTGGATATAAAACAACATTGATTACAATTATAAATTTTTAAGGATCTGGTACCCTTATTTTTTAAATCGGCTCTAATGACTTCGACGCATAAAGTTCAATTGTATTACTCTAACACTCTATGGACAATCTAGTTTAATATAAATAAATTATTATCATTATTATTTCTTATTCTAAGGGTGTGTCCACATCTGGCGAATGCTCCGCCAATGTGCAAATCGAGAGCCGTTTGCGAATTGCCTTCGTGCATTTAAAATTATTACTTAGACGAGCCTTGCATGAGTTGCACTAAAGAGGTGCGCCAAACTATTGCTGTGACTGCACGCGCGTAGCTCGCAAGCGGCTCGCGAGCTACACATTCGCGGAATATTCACCAGACGCGCCCTTATATGAAAAAAACAGGCAGACACCGTATAAAAATATGATTTTTGTCAAATAAAAGTCAGTTGTTTAGATACTAATATTTATAAATAAGTCCTTACATTAATGATCTAATAGATAGCTCATTCATATAATAACTACAATAGAATAGGACTTCATGCAGATCACTTAAAGAATTTTTCTACAAGTCCATGCACACTATATGTTACTCTAAGGCTGGTTTAAAGCATTACAAAGCGTTACATACCTCTGCGTTGTTTGCTGGCGTCTGACGCGAGAGACTCTGGCGACAGATTGGTCTGCATTTCGTCGAGATCCGTCGTGCCTAGTCAAGCGTTAGTACTTCTCTAGTTAATATTTTATACATGCATAATAAATAGGGTGGATAACCATCAAGAGGAGATATGAACGTTAGATAATTTTGTGATTTATGTCTTTGGCGTTTTAGTTGAGTTTTGATTGATCAATAATTTTTTCTATACATTATGTTCAAGAAAGGGCCTTGCAGAGGAGACAAATAATGTAGTTAGACAAAGTTGTACTTTATTACTTTACTGTAATAGTCGAGTTTTAAGTGCCAAATATACTTTTACTAAGAGAGTGTAAATATCTAAGAGTAGAATATAATTTGCAAATTAAAACATGCTACAATAGCAGGGTGCATTTTTCTAAAAAGGTTAACTATGCGCATAGAATAGTACTTAAAAAGAAATTGTTTATAGAGTTGTAACGTCAATTTTATCAAATGCTTTAAAATAGCTTACTAACAAAACAGTGATTTAATAAGTGCCTAAACAATATTTATACTCATTTTAATTATTCTTAAGCATTTACATACCTTCAAAGTCAGTTTTATTAAGTAAACTGATTCGATCAATAGGCTGGACATCGAAGGCGGCCGAGTGAGTCGACGAGGCGTCATCATCGTCCGCCTCCGAGGCGACCGAGCGTGACGTATGTGACGTACGTGACGTACGCGACGCTGTGCTCAAACGACGACGAGGCGAAGCGTGTGGCTGAGGTTCTAGCCACGATTCTAGCACCGCTTTTTGGTGGCGAGTCAGTCTGGAGAGAGAAGATAAATAACAATTTGGAAGGTCAATATTTATAAGTGGTGTTCGCGTGAATATAAAACTACGCCAAAACTGAGTATAGAAAGGTGTGATTTCAATAAAAATATTGAATATCAGCGGGTCATCACTGTCGTAACATAACAATAGATCGTGCTGCATTACTTAAAGACAAAACACTAGAAAAGGTTCTCAAATCATAATTATTTATGTTATAATCTTGTATCAGTGAGTCGCTTGCCAGAAATAATGCTATAATGGGGAGTAGTTTTCACAATACAAACGTAAGGTCTGAATTTGAAATATAATTTTATAATAAGTAAATTGAGATACTGATGTGACTAAGCTAAATGCTTTGATCTATTAAAAACTGTAGACATTGTAATCTATATATATTATAATATCCCACCAAAAACATTCTGTAAAAAACAAGCAAAGTCTTCTGTATCTTTAAAAAGTAATGAAATATAACAAAGTCGTGCCAAGTCTAAGGTCTTTATTGCGATTTCGTTATTATTATAGTTAATGTTGTGTGACTTTGCCGTTGTAGGATACACAAGGGTACGGAACCAGGTGTTCCATGACACCATTGCACCAATCTGTCGCCACAACCGCTACCCATTGACGATGAAAAATTGCCTCTTGGAAAACGTGGTGTAAAAACCTAAACCTAATCTAGGTCGGGTTACTACGGTCATTCACTTCTTAATGACTTTAATCGTATTATCTCATTAATTATCGAATGTACTGAGCTGAAATTTTACTGATGTACAACTGAACTAAACAACTAATTATTGGCATAACATACAGTTCATATATCCAATCCCATGGCTAAATAACACCGCGCGCATCTAGACCATGCTCGTGAAGAACTCAATATCATCATAACTTGTTCTAAACTTACAGGATACTAATGAAACTTGAAATATATTTGAAGGCACTTAAGCTTTAAAATAACGTTTAAAGTACTTTTATTGTTATAAGTAGAAGTTTTTTTACTGCAGAACAAATTTGAACTAATTCTTAAGAAGCCATTAACAAAATATGATAAGAATCCGCTTAACCATTTCAAAAATCTAGATAAACCAAAAACGTTACCCCAGCAAAATCTCGAATAACTTTGCAACCGATGAAAGAACGAATACAAAATAAGACACAACGTTTACTTCATCTAGACAACTAATTTTATAGCTAGTAATTATTTAAATATTCCCATTAGAAAGAAAAAGGTCTGGCTGGGGTAACGTTACCCCAGCAGGAAATGTTTCTGTGAAATAATTAAAAAACTATAAGCGCAACAAATGTAAAAATGTGCGCAACTATTACAGAAGCTGCACAACTAATTATCTATAAGATTCAAATGACCATTTTCGACAACATCTGGCTTAGGTAACGCACATGTGAGAAAGTGAGTGCCATAAATGCGAAACTTTGCTGTCGCTTAACTTCGGAACTAAATGACCTGTACTGTACTGACTTGAAATTTTGGATTTTAAGTATGTGATTATAGCTTACTGGATGACGAAAATTTCTGCGTTCTGGTCTTATCCAGACGTTCTCAAATAAGGGCCTGAAAATGCGGCGAAATGGTTCCAGTAAAGGATGGTACGGCAGTGTTTGCTTCGCGCTCGACTTAGCGGATTTTCTTAAACTAAGAAATAAGTTGAGGTTTCAACAAAAATCTTACCTTCTAGCACTAGAATATTCGCTGATAACATTCTCAGCTTCCATTTTGGAGTTATCCTCAACAGTCACTTCAGGTATCACAGACAGTTCAGGCTTACTAGCGAGGACGGACTTACGGCCTTTCCTAACAGCCCTATCACCGGCATCTTCACTGGCCTTACTTCTAATTGAGGCTATAGAACTTTCTGAAGCAACGCTTTCATTGTCATCAAAGTTTTTGCTTCGGGACCGATTGGAGCGTCTTTTAGGGGTGGAGATAGATTCGTCTAAGGCTTTCGAGTCATCGTGTTTTTCCGACATCTCTCTTGAAACCCTTCTAGTGATAATTTTTCTAACTTCGGCGCTGGTTGGGGTTTTCGCTCGTCGTCTTGACGGCGTTGTTACTTCAGACTTGGCGCTTTCTGGAGTTTTTTGCTCTGCGTCCATAGATTTGTTTGAGGCTGTTGATTGAGTACGTTTTCTTGTTGCTGGAGTTTTAACCTCAGTATCTATTGAAGGTATCTCTTCTGTAGCAGATATGTTTGATGACGTAGACTTGCCACGTTTCCTAGAACGCGTTGGTTGTTCTACTTCTTTTTCCACTGCCTGTTCTTCTGTTTTCTCTTCTTCGGTTTCTTTTTGTACGTCTTTTGTTTCTTGTTCAGTTGTTTCTGGTACTTTAGTGACAATAGGAACTTCTACAACTTCTTCTACTACTTCAGTTTCTGGAATGTTCTCAACCTTTTCTGATTCCTTTGCTTTATCGCTTGTTGGTTCTTGTTCGATTTCTATGATTTCTACGTCAACATCGTTTGGAGTTTCAACTTGTGTTGTGCTGTCTACTTTAGTTGGTTCAGGTGTGGGTTCTTTCTCTTTGTTTTCTGAAGATCTAACTTCCATTTCGACGATTGGTTCTGAGGGAAAAATAATGTTTAAATGCAATTATTGATATTAGATAAAATGAGGCATAGTGTTGAATAAGTAGACGAGTACATTAGTTAATTTTAAATTACAACGTTCATATTAATTTGAAAGTTTAGATTTGTATGGAAAGAAATCTAATAAAAAAGAAAAATAACACGAAAACCATCCAATAAATTATACATTATGAGGTAATGTATTTTGCATTAAAGGAGTGAGGATATTAAATGAACCTTATACTAATTCCTACAGAGATCAAATCAGAACAAATAATCTATGCACCAAACAATTACACAATGTTGCGGGTCAGTGCCTTTAGCCAAACGCCACTTTAGCGCTTGTCGAGAGAGTAGACAACTAAATGTATGGGTTGACATTGACAAGTGTCAAAATTTGCGTCAATTCCATATAATTTAGTTTCCTACTCTACATGTAGACAAGCGCTAAATGGCATTTGGCTACAGCGGTTGGAGTGTGACACACCGGGCGCTGTACCTTATGAACCTAGTATGGCTTGAAAGTAGTCGAGTTCCTCGTCAAATAATTACGCGAGTAAGCCGAAAAACATAATAATCAATTTAGTATGCCTCATGACAGTTATATTATCATCTCTCACCTTTTTCGACAGCCTCCACCTTCACATCACTAACATTGGTCTTCCCACTCTCACCAGAATAGTTCAAGTTCAAATCGGACTTATCAGACGCAATAGAATTATCATCAGTCATAAGTGAGAAGTTAGCTTGATTGAACTTATCCGTACTTCCGACTTGAAGAACATCTTCACTAATAATTTCATCTTGTACTGTTCCTTTATCTTGTGTTTCAATATTAACATTCCGTTCTTCAGATTTCCGACTGTCTTTAGATTTCTCATCAATTTGTAGTTTATCGCTAGAATCGTCCGAATCTTCTATGGAAATAACTTCGTCGTTTTCTTCTATTCTTTCGTTTGATGTACTTGACTGAAATGTTTTAATAATACTTATTAAAGGTTATTAAAAAAGAACCAATCCGCTCTCAGTTAGTGGTTTGAATAATAGTGGTTCATTACATATCATAACATCACGCCTATTATCTCCGAAGGGATAGATAGAGGTGCACATAGCAGCACTTAATGCCGCTGTACAATGTAACACCAACTTTTCACTACTTATGTTATGAGTCCCATGTAATAGGGGGTGAACCTATTGCCATATACCGGGCACAATTTCAGATTCCGTGCTACTATTGAGATTTTTTTTTAAAACCCAGTAATACTTTATCCGACCCGAGAATCGAACCCGAGACCCCTTGCCCGGCAATTGCACTTGCGACCACTCGGCCAACGAGGCAGGCAGGCTGTTTAGTTACAACCTATTTTAACCTAGTTATGGTTCTTAAACCCGAATACTGAAAAGCGACTCAGTATTTAGTTGTACTTAAATATCGTGCTATCTCTGTCATTTTACAAAGAATTTGCATTAACAGAAATATTGTCGGGCGCATTAGTATGACCATCGACCATAGAGTCGGCGACGCGCGGGACGAGGCAGTAAAAACCCACGGCCGCGCGAGCGCCGCGCTTCTTCATCCACACACTCCGCTAACTCACGCCAAAACTTTCGGGCTTTTCTTTGTGTAGGTGCGCCGCCGATCTTGATACTAATTTTTAAATAAACCTACTTTATGTGGAATCTTCTGTTTTAATTTAAAATAACCCGACAGAGCTACGACAACTATACTTAAAAGCAACATAAAATTGAGTAGCCTTTCATGTAGTCGGGCGTTAGTACTTTAATGTACATAAACAAAAAATTGCAAACCACAATAACAGACTACGGATATATGAACTACTAATGAATTTTAATGCTAAAATACAAAACGAATGGTCTACAATAAACAAAGGTCTATTTAAAGATATCCTATATCTAACAAGCAGCGGTAAAGCTGATATTTTATCATACAGGGTTCACTTATTGATTTTTTTCTAGTCAGTTCATGTGCCAGGCCAGATGTTGTCGAAAATGGTTATTTGAATCTTATGGATAATTAGTTGTGCGGCTTCCATAATGGTTGCGCACATTTTTAATTTGTTGCGCTTAGAGTTTTTTAATTATTTCACAAAAATATAACGTTACCCCAACCAGACTTTTTTCTTTCTAATGGGAGCTATAAAATTAGTTATCTAGATGAAGTAAATGTAGTGCCTTATTTTGTATTTGTTCTTTCATCGGTTGCGAAGTTTTTCGAGATTCTGCTGGGGTAACGTATTTCTTTCTAATGGGAATGTATAGTCTGGCTGGGGTAACGTTACCCCAGCAGAAAGTATTTTTGTGAAATATTTAAGAAACTATTTGAGCGCAACAAATTTAAAAATGTGCGCAACAAATTTAAAAATGTGCGCAACAATTACAGAAGCCGCACAAGTAATTAATTATCTATAAGATTTAAATAACCATTTTCGACAACATCTGGTCTGGGTAACGCACACAGTTAGTTCGGGATCTTCTGACCGATATCAAAAATGTTGAATATCTCGGAAACTAGCCACTTTCAGACCGGGGACCTCAGGGCAATTTTGTAGGAAATTAATTGTATTATCACCTCCCGAAAGGAATACGTCGAGATACAAGTCACCCTGTATTATAAGTTTTGTATGTTGTAGTTACATCACCTATTAACACAAGATCACTATTACTAGATCACTACAAGTACATATAAACTACAAAATAACGTTTACGATAACTATTTTCTACTACAAATAAAAATATTTACATGCAAATATTGTCTACTATTAATTACAATCCCATGGATGAATAACTATCAAATTACCGCGTTGAGTGTGACACAGATTTTACCGTCGTTTGTTGTAACGTCTTTAGCTTTGGACGGTTCCACGTTTTCAGGCAAAGGAATTTGCTGTAGATCAAAATGATTAATTTTACTATGAATCCGTAATATCTTTCTTATCTCAAATCATCAGAGCCACAGAAAGCAGAAAGCTGTAAGAAGAGACGAGTCGAAGGAGGGTAGGGAAGCCTTTGCCTTGCAGTGGGACAACCATGGCTAAAACAGAGCCACCGGGGGCTTAATTACCTACCCTCCCCAATATCCATAATCCCTGAATCCCCAACAATCCTCAAATTCCTAATCCCCAAAAGGCCGGTAACGCACTTGTAACATCTCTGGTGTTTCGGGTGTCCATGAGCAACGCTGATTGCTTACCATCAGGTGATCCGTCTGCTTGTTTGCCGGCTTATCCAGTATACCATACCATATTCAGCTTGCCAGTCAAGCGTAGAGACCATGACAAACTGTCTTATGCTGAAGGAGTCCATAGTCTACTAGTTCTGCTATCGATTATTGATGTTCTTGAATTTCTATATACATAAAAATGAATCCCTTTTTCCCTTGGTCACGGCACCACGCGTGTATGATTTGACAGCTGGACTGATTTCACTAATTCTTTTTTGTGGTATTTGTTACTATTAGGAGAAGGTTTTTAAGACAGAAAAAATCCTGTAATTCGTACGGGAACGGGAGCAAATGGGATTGCGCTTACGACGTCGCGGGCAGAAGCTCTATTAGCTTCTGCCCGCGACTTTAAATAAATATCAATAGCTTTTAACTGATCAATCCCCAACCAGTCACCGGTGACCGTTCTCCACTAACTCGATTATAGACCTTATTTCCGATTTTCTGACTACTTTTGTATGAACCAATTTTAGGGATTTATATCAAGTGATTAAATAAGTCTAGTGTAGATAATTTTGTTCCCTTACCTCAATCTCATCATCAGATGCCTCACTGCCTGATTCTCCTTCATCTTCTCCCTCATCCCCAGAACTCTCACCAGCATCCTGATCATCTTCATCAGACATATCTTGAATCTCATCTATCTCCCTCTCAATCTCCACTATCTTCTCTTTCTCTTTCTGTTCTGCTGCCGATTTCTTATTATCTACATTTTCCTCCATTTCGATGTCGACGTCGCTATCATTTGTCATGAGACTTGACGCTTCTTGGACTTTAGAATCGTCCTTTAATTGGGACGCTTCAGCGACACTGCTTTCAGCACTATGTAGAACTGAGTTCTCAAAATCAGTTTGTATCATTTGCACGAAGGCAGCAAACGGTTTGGACGTGTTGTTATCAACTTCAGTTTCCTTTTCTTCTTGAACGCTCGATTCGTCGGCCACACTACTTTGATAGCTTTTTAGTACTGATTTGTCAAACTCTGTTTCGTTCAAAGTGAACGCCGGTAAAGGTTTTAAGACACTCATCTCGCTCTTTTCTACAACGACTTTTTCTTCGCGAATATTAATTGAAGTATCCGTTATTTCTGCTACACTGCTTTGGTAGCTGTGTAGAACTGATTTCTCGATGCAAGTTTCGTGGAGAGTTGTGAATGCTGGGAACGGTTTAAGGTCAGTTTCCAACACACTTTTGTCAGTCTTGACTTCTTTTTCTACAGTTTCTAGTATTGTGGAGTCAGTGGAACTCTGTAGTACTGATTTGTTGACTATGGGAGAGAGGGTGACGTCCATTAAGTTCGGAACTTGTTTCAATGTCTTCATTGGAGTGCACTCGATAGATATTTCTGGTTTATCTTCAAGGCTCTCTGTGTCCATTTTGTCGGCTTGCTTCACTTTAGCTGATAAGATGTTTTCGAAAGCCTTGCGAGATAGGGACGGCTTTGCTTGCTTGCTTCGTGCTGGCGATTCTATTTTGGGTGACATTTGCCTTTCTGGTGTTTTGGAGCGACTCCTATAACGTGAAAGAAACATTAATAATTGATGCTAGATAACTAAGTAGTCATTCATCAGTAAGTCAAGTAGTCATTGTCTTGAGACATTTATCTTCTAATTTATTCTGTAAATCAGTTTCCTATGGACACAAATGTTACTGGAATTTATCTAGTCGTTACAAAACGTACCTCAGACTGCGTGGTGACGGCTTGGCTACGATTTCTTGCACCACTTCTATTTCGGGAGTTCGTGAACGGCTCCTGTACACAAATAAAAATCATTAATTTGGAGAATAAATATTAACATCAGTCATTTAGTTGTGTATTGAAATGCACAAGCAGCACCCAAAAATGTTTCTGTCTCTATTAATACTTCATAAATTGAAAGAGATAGCACTATATTTAAGTACAGTTTCAAACTTAGCAGTAGTTCGGCACTTCGGCCTAAGCTACAGAAACATTAAAATGTTTGTAAAATAAAGTATTACTTAGAAAAGCGCCAATCAAAATTATGAATTTTGACGTGACAACGACCAACCAATTTATAAGAATAAATTAGTTTGCCGGGTGACACTTCAAGAAACTGCGTTACGCTCCGCTCACGTTATGCGCTCACAATGAGAGCGAGTGAGAGGCACGCGTCCCTTCCTCGGGCATGGTTAGCCCGCCTAAGAGCGAGAGAGACAGACATCGTTGTCACGTAAAACTTTCGCCCGTATATTTATATTTTATTATTACCTTAGACTACGTGGTGTGGGCGAGGAAGATGATGACGACTCAGTGTTAGTAGACTTGGTCGGAGACTCTGTGATGGCTTCTAGTTTTGGAGACTCCGACACTGCTTTATCTACACGATCTGGTGTTCGGGATCTACTCCTGTAGGTGGTATTTAGAGTTTAATAGATCAATATAACTTCGTATTCGTGTGTTCTTGATTAAGACCTCCGATAAAGTACGAAATTAGTTAAGGGTACCCGTAATACGATAATGTGAGTAAAACATACTAAAAGTACCACAGTAAAAAAATACATGAAAGTAAGAAGTAAGCCTTGGTGAGCCTTGAAGGTAAGTGAAAATTTAAAAATCAAACGAATATTTTAAATTAACTGAGAAGTTTGGCTTTCACGTATGAATTGCATAGAGAAACTGGGCGGTCTGTTAAGATTATGAACGCCTGTCATCCTTATAATAAAGAGTATTACTAGTTTAGATTTGTATTAAAGAATAAAGTTTTAATTATCATTAGACTCTGTAGGCTGCTCACCTACATTTCATTATTCTATCTATACCTTGCCCATATTCGTACTTTTTACTATTACACAGCCCACCTCTTTTCTTTAGTATTTTCTTCTTCCAATAAAATCTGTAAAGACTTTTGTTTTTCGCGTGTCATAGTTTTTCTCAATGCATAAATGTACATACATAAGATCATATTTTATTAAAGAGCCTTTTTAACCTTCTAAATCTAATCTACTTTCCGAAACACTGGACCCCCAAAACTCCTATGCAAAGAAGTCAGAAGAAATACAGAAGTAGCATGACTAGTGTACCTGAGCCGTCTCGGGATGCTGAGAGTAGTTTTCTCAGGATGAGGTTCACTGTGGGCTTCATGGCGAGGCAGCTCGGGGATTGGGGCCAGGGGGGACGTACGGGGACTCAACTCTGGAGTACGAGACCTACTCCTGGAGGAAAAAGAAAAACATATGTTAGAGAGATTCTTCTCAAATGTACTCAATACGTTTATTGCACTCCATATGTTTATAAGGTGTTACATAATAATATAGTACAGTATGGACCCTGTAGGGCACGGCAACGTAGAAGAGAGGAGGACGCTAATTTTATTTAGATTATGTATCGCAGATTTTTTTATTGCTAGTTATAAGTAGTTATTTTGTTCAATTTATTTTGTAATGCTATTAGTATTATTTATGAAAAATGTACTTATATATTCTATGTAGGTTCATATATTTATATATGAAACATTTATTTTAATATTTTTTTTTAAATGGACTCTAAGTATATATTATGCATGAAACTAATAATATGAAACCGCAGTTTGTTTGTTTGAACGAGTTAATCCCTGGGACTATAGGTCCGATTTGAAAAATTCGTCTTGTGTTGGATAGTGCATTTATCAAGGAAGGCAATAGGCTACTAAACCATCACACTACGGCCAATAGGAGCCGAACAGAGCGGATAAAACCGCGCGAAGTAGCTAGTCAAACAGATAAAGATTTCAGTCACCTGGTTATTCTGGAACCGCGCAATGAGGTAGCGACAGGAGAATCTACTCGTTCCGGAGTCACATTGCGACTTCTGTAATAATATAAAATAGAATTTCAACACTAAATATTTATTTTGATGTTACCATTGACTAGTGGACTATGTCCAACTAATTCATATTGGACCAAATTTTGCACGTGTCATATTCAATTCACAGCAATAATTGAAGAATAATTAGCATACAGATGATTAATTTAATGTTATCTCAAAAGGGGTAGGCAGAGGAGCACATTTACGGCACTTAATGCCACTGTACAATGTAACACCCACTTTTCACTATTTATGTTATGAATCCCATGTAATAGGGGGTGAATCTATTGCCATATTTATACCGGGCATATTTCCAGACTCCGTGCTACTACTGAGATTTTTTTAAAAACCCAGTAATACTTTGCCCGACCCGGGAATCGAACCCGAGACCCCTAGCCCGGCATTAGCACTTGCGACCACTCGGCCAACGAGGCAGTCAGTTAATTTAATACATATTATGGTAAAAACAAGGAATAAACTCACGTCCTGAGCGGCGTACTTTCCCCCCCACTGGCTCTAATACCCCGTCTCCCGCGCGGCGTCTTCGGCACTTCTCGGGACACTTCGGCAGGTTCCGTCATTTGAGATTCAGACACAGTCTCGATAACGGTGTGTTCAAAATCTTGTTCCTTATTGTATGAGTGGTAGTGTCGTTTTTCGCCTGAATATCTAGGGTTGATGAGAGTGACCGGTATGTCTGCGATGCTCTCGATGGATGTGTTAGGATCGTCTGACAGACTACTGTTCACGGATAGAGAGAGGGAGCGTCTGGAAGGAATTTAATAGAGAAGTTTTATTAGCAAGATACCGTGATGTCTTCGAAAGGAAGTAACCTTAATAATTTAACCTTAGTAACCTTAGTGAACTTAACTCGTCGAGTACCGTATTTATAGACACAATTAAAGAACAATAGGTTGCGGTCACCGGTGACAGCTTGGTGTTTGACAGTTTAATAATATTATTATTTCTATTTTAAATGGTTGATGTATGAGATAGAGTAAGTTTCCAAGTTTATGTCTTATTATGACGCGTCTGCTGCTACGATTCGATGACGTCGTCTGCTAAGATTTTTTTTAAACGTGCCCCTCAATCCAATTTTCTCCTGTGTCGTGAGGGCGTTTATAAACATACAAGTTCACATGCACAATACACCCAGACCCAGAACAACATTTTGGCGATCAAACAAAGAGTTGCTCCGTGCGGGAATCGAACCCGCCAAACGTTGCGCGGCAGCCAGTTTTCCAGCCACCGCGCTAACTGTGCAGAATATAATAATATGCAAAAACTGCTGCAGTGCTAATTTGATTAGCGACAGTCGATCCAGTCTTCGCACTAATTTTAGCCAGAGCCTAATTTGGAAGCACGGATTGGATTTGAACATAATCAATTTTGTATTAACTCTTGTCTAGATAAAGTGGGTTTTATTGAATTATAAATGAATATTCACCTGGCGCGCACTGTATCTTTGAAAGATTTCCTTCCTTTCACGGACTCCTCTGTGGCAAGCCTCTTAGGAGGCGATTCCATTGGGTGTGTTTCAGTCTGGAAATATAAAATTTAATACATTTAAGTACCTACTTCAGTTAGATAATGTCATCACTACTTAGTGTCGAAGTACTGTCTACTAAGATCTGACTGAATAACTCTAAACAATAACGCCTTTCAGATTTATATTATAAGTGTCGTGAGACATACTAAATTAATTATTATGTTTTACGACTAACTCACGTAATTTTTTGACGAGGAACTCGACTAGTTTCAAGCCCTGCTAGAAGTTCTTATTCATGAGCAGCATTCCGCGACACTCGTCCCAGCGACTGTAGTAGCGCGACAGTAACAGCGCTAGTCGAGTTCCTCGTCATATTATTACGTGAGTAAGCTGAAAAAGATAATAATTAACGCCTTTCAATCTTACGACTGATTCACAACCGATGTGATCTCCAACCCGTCTGACAAGCTTGGCGATTATAGCAATCCTTCTTATGGTTTTTACGCTGTGACGCACGCTGAACTTCTGTTTTTATTCTTGTGTTTATGTTTTATTGTCTTACCTATCATACTTTAGAAAGAAAGTTGAGTTCCCTAAGACTAGACGAGGTGATCGTGTCTTGTGGGCTACTGTCCAACAATATGGTAGTTGACAGTTAGTCAAATTCCATACTTTTATTGAAATGTCAAAAACGATACTTTTATGAATTTTGTATTGGATCGCAATTTATGATGTCATCATATTTCTGTGTCAAATAGCATACTTATTTCCTTAAAATTAGCGAAAAAAATCTTAAAATAGGTAAATTGTCAAATCAATGGATGAGAGTATGATTATTTTTCAATTATTTATTGCATTAAAAAGTTGAAACAATTTATTTTAAACTTAAGAAACTAGTTAAATGTACATTGGGATTTACTATGTATGTTCCCTTGTAAATTTCATTTGTGCGACGTAGGATTTTATGACGTTATAACAGATTTGTTGTTGAATCTTCATGTGGGTCGCTACAGCGCAATAAACGGATTTTCGTACTTTCTTTCTTTTCTTTATGTAAAAATGCAGTCCAGTTCAGTAGTGGACACTTTGAGGAGTTGATTATGTGGCGACGCATGCCACATGTCAACGGATGACGTCACAAGAATCCTACATTGCACATGCAAAGTTTACAAACGAATAAACACAGATAGAAAATCCCAACGAACAACTGTCGGGCAGAAAGCCCGCCAGGCACGATCACCTCGCCTGGTCGGAGGATCCTCCTTTTCCGATCTTAGGGAACTATACTCTCTGTTCCCTAAAGTGGTGACCCCGACGTGATTGGAAGCAACCTTCACTTCACGGAGCAGATTAGCACCGTCATCCGTATCGCCATCCCTCTCATTCATCACTTCTCCGCTGAGCGGTAACCAAGTCGCAGCCAACCAGCATCCTCGGCCTCATCAGGGACCACCATTACCTGCAACGAAGTTGTGCAGCCTGGTTCTTCCCTACGGCCTCACCAGCGTCTAGGCACGCACAGCACTTCTGCACACGGTCTGAAGGACACCTCCTCCCGTCAACGCAGATGCCGGCCACTACGCACCTACCCTCGCAGCATCTATTCCCCGACTCACCGTGGGACACTGCGAACTCATCTCTCCGACTCACTGGAGTTTCACCCTGCACCGCTGACCCGACTCACTGGGCACTCAGCGGCACGGTTCCGACCCACTGGAACTAGGGACGTTCTACACTGGCTCTGGCGCCACTCATCTCAAGCATCGACAGCCATCTCAGCGGGATCGACCTCCGGTCTTAGGAGGGAGTGATGTGGCGACGCATGCCACATGTCAACGGATGACGTCACAAGAATCCTACATCGCACATGCAAAGTTTACAAACGAATAAACACAGATAGAAAATCCCAACGAACAACTGTCGGGCAGAAAGCCCGCCAGGCACGATCACCTCGCCTGGTCGGAGGATCCTCCTTTTCCGATCTTAGGGAACTATACTCTCTGTTCCCTAAAATTATAAATAAAAAAACTCACCATAGCATGAGACGTAGTGGTAACAAAGCTGTCAATAGATACATCCATCTCTTTCTCTCTCGTTAACGTTGAGTTCTCCATCTCTTTCTCTCTCGTTAAAGTGGCGTTCTCCATCTCTTTCTCTCTTGTTAAACTGGAGTTCTCCATCTCTTTCTCTCGCTGTTGAGGTTGTGTGTTCGTTGGCGGTGACGGCGTCGATCCAGACTCCGATGCAGTAGGAATCGTGAAGCGAAGATGCCTAGAAACACAAGGGAATATCGCCTTTATAGACTGCAAATATAGGTGATTTTTCTGTGATTAGGTTAACGTCACGTTCGATTGTTTTACAGTTTAGTTTTTAACTGTGTACCTTTGCACGGTGTCCTAGAAACTGAGTGTAGAGAGAATAATTAATTTGAAGATAATGTTATCAAAAGTACCACTTTAAAGTAGGTTGCCTACTTGAAATTCTACTACAAAACCTATGACTAAACAGTAGTGAGTGAGTAGTGAGTTAAACTGCACTATATGCACTACATATTCAGACCAAAATTGTACAGTTTAAAAATTAAAATGAAGTAAAAACTTAAATTTAACAATTGAGATTGAAATTGGTCTTTTTTTTTTTTGATAAGCGAACTTTTTGTTTTTTTGTTGTTGTAATATCCTGTTCTTTTATAATGCATGTCGTGGCAGCCTGTAATTAAGGCTACACTATAGTGTTAAAATATTATGTAAAAAAAACCTATCATGTATTTTGGTGTATGCTTTGTTGGTTGTTTATATAAATAAATAAATGACAACGCAAACATATGATTTGAAATAACTATGTCATAACATCACGCCTTTTTATCCCCGAAGGGATAGGCAGAGATGCACATTACGGCTCTTAATACCACTGTACAATGTAACACCCAATTTTCACTATTATGTTATGAGTCCCATGTAATAGGGGGTGAGCCTATTGCCATATACGGGGCAGAATTCCAGACTCCGTGCTACTATTGAGATTTTTTTAAAGATATATTTTGCCTAAACCGGGATTCGAATCCGAGATCCCTTGCCAGGAAGTCGCACATGCGACCACTCGGCTAACGAGGCGACTTCGAGGCAGCAACTATGTACGAATCTCAAATACGTTACAATAATATTTTTTGGTTGGTTTTATACATGTTGCGCAACGCAAACCATAAACAAAGGCCCCGGTAAACCTCGAAAGTAATTGAGCATTCTCGAAAATACACGAGTCTTGAAATAAGTATATTAACATTATGCACAGTATACGTACTTGTTAGTGGAATCACTGTAGTGTGTGTGGTTGCTGGCAGTCTCCAATAGCTCGTCGTCACTGTCGCCCAAGTAGCGGGAGTCCACCGGCGACGGGGCCTCGCGGTCCATGTCATCTGTACGTCTTGTCTGCAAGCAAAATGAATTCAAAGCTAGAGGTTATAAAGTAGATTCTCGTATAGCGTGCTTACTACACAAATATGATGTCATATACACGAGACATGTGAGATAAATGAAGTGTGTGGTTCTTCAAAACGAAATTGTCTACATTAATCACACGCGAGCACACCTATTATGTATATGCTGATATGAAGCCAATATATGTAAACGTAGAAGTCACCTTAGTTAAAAAAAATGCATAAAGTTACGGCTTTTATATATTCGCTAAAAAGTTTAAAAGGACATGTATAAACAACTTAATGTGTGGTGATATGTATACTTATCTACTGAATACGGGTAGTCAAATTCAATACTTTTATTTAAAAGTCAAAAACGATACTTTCTATGAATTTTGTATTGGATCGCAACTTATAACGTCATCATATTTCTGCGTCAAATAGCATACTTATTTCCTTAAAATTAGCGAGAAAAAATCCAAAATTAGGTAAATTGTCAAATCAATGTATGAGAGTATGATTACTTTTTAATTAGGTATTTACTGCATAGATCTATCTGATACTAAATCTATCTCAAAAATAAATTGAAAGACAATTACTTTAACTACATCAAATCAAAAACCTACCTTCAATATACTATGTGGAGTACCAGCCCTCTCAGTATACAGCTTGCATTCAGGACTCTGTACATCCGGCATGTCCAGGAGTGTCGCCATCTGACTACTGAGCTTCTCACTCACACGGAATGATCCCATCTTGGGAGTCCTCGGGGTCCCTGACAGGTCTAACCTGGCCCGCTTTGGAGGCGTGGATTCTGAGGCTTTCTGTTCTGTTGCTAAAATGCTGCAAATAAATTAAGAATGTGTGTTATTAATCCGTGGTATCCGGAACGTAGATCTACACGAGAAACAATGTATTACATAAAAATCGCCTAAAACCGGTTACTCACGTGAGTATACTGAGAAAAGTTCTACTATATTCAAACCACAGACGGGTTCTTCCTCATGAGCCGCGTATGCGGTCGCGGCGACCGCGCAAAGCCTTGTGGAGTACTCCAGCTTTTCTCAGTATGTTCACGTGAGTAACACGCGATTTTTAGTTAATTTAGTATGTCTCAAAATAGTTAATGTAAAAAATAGAAACATTGTATTGTCTATTGTGTCTCATCTACCAGCACTCAAGAGGTTAATGCTGAATGTCTTGAACAATCACAACGCGACGCCGAACAAGGGTTATCGGGTCCGATTTTCGTTTTGAGCGACCTTTTTAGGGTTTTTATTTTTCTTACCACATAACTTAATATAACTTGACGCCTTTTATACCCAAAGGGGTAGACAGAGGTGCACATTTCCTACCACCTTTTGGGTAAAATTTATCTCACATTTCACATTGTCATTTTTATTTCTTAGTAAAAACACAAAGAATAGGATTCCACAGATGGTATTTGGCAATCGACTAGCCTTCTATAATGGAGGTTTTTGCTCGCTCTTCTCCATTCGAAACTACATTTTGGAACGAAAGCCTAGCTTCAAAGACAGATAGACGGCCAGACAACTCAAATTTTCGACGTTACAAAAATGCATTAAAGGATTAATTGAATGCTTTGACTTTGACTAATCAGACTCATACATAGCGAAAAATGGTTTTATTACCACCGTGTGTGGTATAAAAAAATGGGTGCTACATTACATTTTCTACTAAACAAAAACATAACATAAGATCACGCCTTTTACCCCGAAGGCGTAGGCAGAGGTGCACATTATGCCACTGTACAATGTAACACCCACTTTTCACTATTTATGTTATGAGTCCCATGTAATAGGGGGTGAGCCTATTGCCATATATATTTTCTACCTCTGTTCAGAAAAGGCGTGATATTATATAATGAGTTAAACTTACCCCCCCATCGCCCCACATTTAAAATAACAAGCTTCTATCGACCTCTTTGGAGTAAAAAATACGTGGTATTCACGAGTGTTGCTATGACCACATAGATGTTTAAACTACAAAAATATTAGCTGTGCAAAAGAAGTGACGAAAAATCACATCATTTGTCTTGTTTCAGTTTCAAAAACAATTGGTTATGCGGTATACTATAACATGTTATTATGCAGACACAAATGACATTGAGAGCAGTTGAACGAAATTTAAAACATAAAAGGTGGGTTAACTATGCTTCACTGAAATTACAAACAACTGAATGAACACAATCCTTCCACGCAAATAAGATAAAATATTTGGTACAATTATAATTTTAAATTAAGCTTCATGCGTCGTTGGCCGAGTGGTTGAAAGTGCGACTGCCAAGGGGTTTCGGCTTCGATACCCGGGTTGGGCAAAGTACCAATGGGTTTAAAAAAATCTCAGTGGTATCACGAAGTCTAGCACATAGGCAGATGGCAATACGCTCACCCCTTACTACATGGGACTCGTAATATAAATAGTGAAAAATGGGTGTTACATTGTACAGTTGCATTAAGTGCCGTAATGTGCACTTTCGGCTACCCCTTTAGGGATATAAGGCATTATGTTATGTTTATTAGCAAACAAATCAAAATTGATTGTATCTCTCATTGAACTAATAATTATTATTATCTCTTTTAAAACATACAATGTACTAACATATGACACATTATGATAATAATATACCAAACAACACTACAAATTATAAAATCGTTTTAAAAATAATAAAATGTACATACCTTCTAGTCCTATTCAACTTCGGCGTGCAAATAAAAGGCGTCTCTTCAATATTGAGCGCGCGTTTAATGCCCCTGCGCATCTTAGGCTTATTTACCCACGTCTCGCTAGCATTCTCTATGGTATCCTAAAAAAAATATCAGAACATCTGAGTGAAAAGTCCGAATAACTTTGCGTTCGTAACGTTATATCGAACGCTGATTGGTTGGTTCACTAGAGCCGACCAATCAGAGCCCCGAACGCGCTGAATACGATTACGTTACGAATACTATAGTTATTCGTGCTTGGCACTCTGTACTATAAAGCTAATATTATAGAGGTAAAGAGTTTGTTTGTTAAGTTGAATGCGCTAATCTGTCGAACGAATGGTTCGATTTTGAAAAAATCCTTTTGATTTGGATAGTCCTTGTAGGTACTAGGTAGGATCATAAGTCATGATGCGACCAATGGACTCCGAAACTATCAGTATGAATTAATTAATTTTTTTTATCATTGATACGCTTTGTATTGGCCAGGGCTTCGCAGGAAAAGACTCAAAAGAATACTCAGCAAGTAGAAATTTAATGAGGTGTTAACTCAGCGAGTACAGCACAGCAAGTGAAGAGATTAGCGTCGGTACATACAAATTAAAATAATACAACTACTTAATTGCTAACATTATACTAAGCACACGTCGTTGCTATGGTATATCCATCAGGCGCTCGTACATTCCCCCGGGTTTTGAAAGCGTTGGTTTCAACAAGATTCATCCGAAGACACGGGCAGTGGGCAGATCCTGTTGAACGCCGTCCGAATGACTCCCGTAGACGTCTGGATGTCAGCTACCCGAACAATGCCGTCTGTTCCTGGGTGAACAGCCACAACTCGTCCTAGTCTCCACTTCAAAGGAGGAAGATTGTCTTCCCTAATCACCACCAAGGTGTTCAGCCTTAAAGCATCTTTGGAGGAGTGCCACTTGGTCCGCACCTGCAGTTCGGATACATACTCCTTGCTCCATCTGCTCCAGAAGTGCTGGCGTAGTTGCTCTATTCTATGAAATCGAGACAGATGGTTCATAGAATGATCCCGGTAGTCAGGCTGCGGTAAAGAAGTCAAGGGTCTCCCAACAAGAAAATGACCCGGCGTCAGTGGAGTACAATCTACAGGATCTGATGATAATGGCGTTAATGGACGGGAGTTCAAAACCGCTTCAATTTTAGTGAGTGCAGTGTAAAGCTCTTCAAAAGTCAAATTACAATTGCCCAACACTCTTTGCAAATGATATTTTGTTGACTTCACTCCTGCCTCCCAGAGTCCGCCGAAATGTGGGGTGTATGCGGGTATAAAATGGAATTTTATTCCATCATTCGCTGCACTTTCACCCAAGGACGAGCTATTAGCCTTTAAAAACTTAGATAAGTCGTTGTACGCACCAACAAATGAGGTACCATTGTCAGAAAATATATTACTTGGTTTACCTCTTCTAGAAATAAATCGATGCAAAGCTAGTAAGTAATTATTGCTAGATAAATCACCAACAAGCTCCAAGTGAATCGCCTTGGTTGTAAAACAAATAAAAATTGCGATATACACCTTTACTAGCCTGCATCCACGGCCTTGACGACTGGCACACATGATAGGCCCGGCGTAATCAACACCAGTGCTCTCAAAGGGATAGCCTGGACGAAGGCGTTCTGAAGGTAAGTTACCCATAATGGGAGTGACGACTTTACCCTTCAAGTGTCGACACAGAACGCAATTATGATAGCATAATCTGCCAAGTTGCGACCTCCTATTGCCAGTAAATTCCCTAATGGAAGCCAGTAATAACTGTGACCAGCATGCAATAGCCTCCTATGCTCAAAATAAAATAATAATTTAGTAAAAGGATGAGTGGACTGTATTACAATGGGGTGCCTTTTATTAAAATTAAAATTGAATTTCGAAGCCTCCTACTCGAATGATATTTTTGTTATCTAAATAAACGTTTAACTTGAGAAGGGCGCTCTTCTTAGGTATTTTCTAATTATTTAAAAGTAGTTCATATTCAGGAAATGATTCACACTGACTTTGTGTGATCACAATATTGAGTGCATTTTGCAACTCATCCTGAGACAAGTAACTTGTCGCTGCATATTGTTTCCTACATGACTTAATGAATCTGACATAAGCTACAGAACGTAAAACTCGTGAATAATTAGAAAATCGACTAAAATCTATAAAACATGAAGTCACGATACATATTACCAAAACCAGGCTTAACTTTTAATCTACGTTCCAATGACTGTAAACAGTGTGTAGCTTTATTTAAGGAATCACCTAGAACCGACGGGTTGTTCTAAAGGGGTATACGAACACTAAACCGACCATCAGACAATCGTGTCGTATTTTTAACAATATGTTCCTCGCACGACTTCTCTTCCGGCATGAAAGAACTCAAAGATTTCGGGATTACTTCCTCTAGTTGCCAAAATTTCGTTAAATCGGTTCTAAGTTTTTCGCAGTCATCATTAATAGGAACAGTACTACTTAAATTACATTTTAAATTAGTTGATAATGAAGAACTAGAGTTACAGTTTTGAGTTATTGGACCGGAGACTATCCATCCTAGGCGAGTCTCGAATAACATCGGTTTTCCGGTACCTAAGCTTAATCGTTGCGATCCTAGTAACTCCCAGAAGAGATCAGCACCAATTAAAAGATCTACATCAGCGGGCTTATAAAAAGTAGGATCAGCTAAAGTAATATTCGGTGGAATATTAAAGTTACTAATATTTATCTCACGACACGGAACATTACTAGTAATGTATGGCAACACAAAACAGTGAAGTTCGAATTTAAAGTCATCAGTTAACGATTCTATTTTAAATCGACATTGTTTGCCTACGTTGGACGTGAGATTATTAATACCAAGTATACACCTATTTACCTGGCTAGTTTGTAAGTTTAATTGTCTACATAACCGGTTCGTTATGAATGACGATGTGCTGCCGCTATCGAGGACTGCGCGAACGAGATGCACACAGTTATTGCGGTCGCGCACCTTGACCAGAGCGGTTGACAACAACACGTCTCGCTGCATATGACCACTAGAGGATGCAATATGTGCTGATAACGCGATGTTATTTGTCTCAGTGGAAGCAAACGGTAACGAAGACGAGGTAGACAAGTTATTAGCAGTGTTATTATCATTAAGTGTACCCGAAATAGTGCCTTTAAAATCTGTGTGAATCAGTGTGTTATGCCTACGTTTGCATAATTTACAACCTGGCTTCTTGCATTTGTTAGCGTAGTGACCCGAGCGAAAACAATTGTAACAAATTTTATAATTGCGTAGTAATTTAAGTCGAGCATCATTTGTTAAAGCGAGAAACTGTGGACAAGTATTTAGCGTGTGATCAGTGTTGTTACATTTAGGACATACTTTAGAAGTTAATTCAGTGATAGAACTAGTAGGAGAATGTGTAGCTACCATAGACTTAATTTTAGGACCTGTTTTAACTACCGTTTGGGAATTATTTGTGCGAGATATTTCTAATGTCTCGATTAGATCGGCTCGACTACGTAAGAATTGCATAAAGACATCAAATGTAATCGGGCTGGCTTTGTCTAACCTACTTTTACACTCTTCCCACTCACGATACGTCTTTTGGTCAAGCCTACGAGTGACAATGTAAATGAGCAGCGTGTCCCACTGCTTCACTGGCTCCCCTAAAGATTCTAAAGCTCGTAAATCTTTATTCAGCTGATCGATTAAACTCTTTAATGCAACAGAAGATTCCTTTGAGAGCGACTCAATATTAAACAGGGCAGATACATGATTTTGTACCAGTAATCTTTTATTGTCAAATCGATCGCGTAACAACTTCCATGCCACAGAGTAGTTGTTCGACGAGAACTCAACAGATTTAATTACTATCGCAGCAGTACCTTCGAGAGATGCTCTCAGGTAGTGAAATTTGTTGATGTCGTCGATGTCATCATTAGTATGAATGAGACTAGCAAAGGTGTCACGAAATTCTAACCAATTAGAATATATACCGCTAAACTTAGGCAATTGGATCGTAGCAATTTGACTGGTTTGTGCATGCTACCAGTGTACTGTTACAGCTTTCCATCGATTTATTATCTTTATTAAAGTCTGTCAAAATATTTTGGGCTCTAGACAGGGATTTATAATAAAGAGACTCGAAATCAGAACGCTCAGAAATTTGTAATTTTATATCGTCGGCCATGCATTCCAGACGCGACTGTACCTCATCATATTGTTCATACAACGACTCGATCTTGCCCATGCGCAATTGCAGTTCAGAAGCATCACAACTAGTTAACGTTTTGTCCTTAAGTGAGTCCAGGAAGTTGACGAACGCAGTCAAACGGCCTTTGAAGCTTCCTCGCTTTTTGATTAAATCCCTTTCCTCGGACATACTGGAAGACGAGAGTGTAGTCAACCTGAAACTGATACAGATCTACTTGTAATAATGAACAATACAATTTACATATACACCTAATTGTTTTATACACTAATTAACAACCTTTACAATTAATAATATTGCAAGAAAACCAGTATATAAACCAGAAATCCAATTGTTAACAAAGACAATGTAATTTTATTTTTTAATTGTACAAGTACCTACAATTCTAAGGTTGTAAAATAACACTGATTAAAAAGCCAAATTTTAAGCATTAATTATTATTTAATACATGTACAACTGATAATAATCCTTTTGATTACTAATAACTTTACTAATTTTAACAATGACTTGCAATAATATCTACACTCGAATGAAATGTATTGCGGGTGAGCTACCCACTCGTGACAATTAACAAGTGCTCTTAAATGTGAATTAGCTACAGCTTTATGGAAATTAAGCAAAATAATGAAGCAAAGCTAACTATACTATATTAAGTATGATTTTCAACTTAATTAAAACTGTGAAAAATGCTAATCACAAGTAACAAGTACCTAATGACTAATGACTGCAAATTGCACGAACACAATACTATGGTAGATAAAATTATAAAAAATGATACTGGCCTTTTATTCAAGACGACGACCTTATCTTATACTACCTGAGTGTTGGGTGACGATATTATTTAAATTAAATGCTTTACACCGCTAAATCACTGCTTGAGTTTAGTCCAATCCAAAATTGCGATGTCACGCTGGATCCTTATTGCTCGATATCCAATATCCTCTGTTTATATGCGCTGATCTTCTATATATAAGGTATCCGGATCGTAATGGACCATGTATTGGCCAGGGATTCGCAGGAAAAGACTCTAAGAATACTCAGCAAGTAGAATTTAATGAGGTGTTAACTCAGCGAGTACAGCACAGCAAGTGAAGAGATTAGCGTCGGTACATACAAATTAAAATAATACAACTACTTAATTGCTAACATTATACTAAGCACACGTCGTTGCTATGGTATATCCATCAGGCGCTCGTACACGCTTCCGTTTTACATAGTAATGTAGGTTACATTATATCGGGATTGATACGTAACGATGGAAAATCTTATAGATTCTATGCGGGCGAAGTCAAGTGGAAAGTTAGTTATAGATATTTAGACTATAATAAAGAGTTCATTGTTCACGTAAACATTTAAAAATAAAACGTATGTCTAGATCTAGTTATTTTTATTATGAAAGCAATCGTTTGATGGTTTTGACGTCACGCCATGTTTTTATTGCTCATCTACAGATTGTAAATTCTTCTGAAAAATGTTATCGTATGGGGCATTGAAGTTTTATTTATGAATACCACTATAACATACCTAGAGCAAATATTTAAGTGGTTATTAGACGAATTTGGAACACACAATACATTGATTTAGGAGTATCACGCGCGACCGTCGACAATCGCACGTGGTTCTCCTATTAATTTCAATTTAAAGCACGCTCTAATCCTTACTAATATTATAAATCGGAAAGCGAGTTTGTTTGTTCCACTTTCACGCCGTAACTACTAAACCGATTGCTTTGAATTTTTGCAGACGTGAAGTTAGAAGTCTGGATTAAATAATAGGGTACATTTTATCCTGGAAAAATTTGGTATTCCCGAGGGAAAACAAAAGAATTGGTATAGATGGCGTTGTGTGTATTGGTATATGTCACATAGGCTACTTTTATCCTTTTGTGACGCAAACGAAGCCGCGGGTAAAAGCTAGTTTAATTATATAGCGGAAAACTCGACTGAAGTGATACCACGGCCTCACAGAAAAACCCTACGTGAAACAACGCTTGCGTTATATTTCGTCGTGTGAGTGAGGTTACCAGAGGCTCAATTACCCAATCTCTCCAATCCCCGAATCCCCAATAATCATCAAATTCCTAATCCCTAAAAGACCTTACCGTACTTGTAACACCTCTGATGTTTTGAGTGTCCATGGGCGGCGAGGATTGCTTACCATCAGGTGACCCGTCTGCTTGTATACCGGCAAGCAATAAACCATTAAAAAAAGACAAATAGTTCGAAAATTTCACTCGTTGAATAAAATACATCACAACACATCGCCATTATTATATACCCACTACCTGGAGATTAACAAATGACGTTATAATCTTCAATTAGATTACCGATTAACGCATGCTCAGGTCATTGCACTCCTGACATTTGCGGTATTACTTCATACACTATTTTTGTTCAAACAATATTGTAGGCACACATCAAGCTATGCAAAACCAGTGTAAACTGAACGCTGAGTGTGCGTAAAGGTCATACAAGGCAAGACCACGATGAATTGGTTTTGTTTAGCTCATTGTGTAGTTGTTCAATTTACATATCTATAAAAATTCTCTATACAGTGAAGAGCAAATAATTAGGCATTACTAAAGACTCACCTGTATGAACGATGATTTGTATGTGAACGTATTTTTCGGTGATTTCGCCTTTACGAATACCGACATTGGTTTTGGTGCGATCACTGAAAATTGAACATGTTATTGGTACGTGTTGTCAAACGTTAGTTTTATTTTTGTTGATTTATTAACTAATACAAGAAACTAAAACAAATAGAAGACATACAAATATTAAGGTTGTTGTGGGCTGTTTGTTACTATATCCTTTAAAACAAAATTCCTAAACGTATTGCGGAGCGCAAACTTCGATAATAATAAATTCAGTGAACTGTTTTATTGCTTAGAAAAGTCTTATAAAAATTAAAATACTGGATAATGTTGGTATACTTAATAGAAAAAACTCATAATATCTGTTGGCTCAATAATTTACAATGTAAATACACATTTCAATTTATAACATGAAAAGACATTAACATATGTGATCAATAAGTTCCAAAATACAAGATAGAATTAAAACGAAGTTAAATGAAGCTGCAGATTATATGTTTTGTTCACAAAAAAAAACGACAAGTAAATGTGAATAATCTGACCGTGCGGCTCCACGTCGGCGGAGTCGAGCGCGTAGTGCGCGACGGTGGCGGAGATGGCGGGCAGCGCGGCGCGCGCGACGTGCACGAGCGCGTCGCGCGCACTGTCGCGCTCGGCCAGCTCCAGCAGGGACTCGGCCGACCGGGACACCTCGCGCGCGCGCCACTGCTTCAGCTTGTTGTTGTACCGCTCGGCTTCCAGGTATCTGTTACAAACATTTCTAGGGTAGGACTTTGGTTCTTGGCAGTTGGCGCTAGCAGCATCTTTGGACATATTAACAGATATCCTTTTTACACTTTATGTCACATGTGACACTACATTTCAAGATTTATGTCAACTGTCAAGTCCATACATAGAGTTTTTTTCACAATACATAGAAGAAAATATAGCTACTCCGTCTATGAAATGAAAAAAAATGCAATATCTTATGTTAAAAGTACCCTTACCCGACGAGCATGCATTAAAAGATTAAAAGGTTTGACTGTTGATGAAGCGAAAGAGATATGTAGTTTTAAGTAAAACTCAATACTTTAAATATCTAAAAGTTTATTATAATCGGATTCTTTTTAAGAACACAGAACACAGTGCTCTCCCAACTTTTCCACCAGTAACGCACGTCACTTCACTTTGCGCGGGAAACTTTTCTAATCTTTCCCATTTGACAGATGACATCGTCAATCGACAGCTAGTGCTCTCGATAACATAGATTAAACTAGTGACGTTCATTTAGTTGATTTTCGTCGTCTAACAGTAGGAATCGTAGTAATTGGCCTTCCATAGTCTCCACCATGGGAGACAGACGAGAAGTTATGTATGACTAATTACAAGATTTGGAATTTCTGACTAAAATGCATCTATCTACTTACACATTAAAGTTCATTTCATAATATCTAATACAATCCCACTCACCTCGACTGTTGCAAGTGATACATGACAAGTATATCAGATGTATGAGCTTCGTTGCAATCCTCCAAATACTTCACAAACATCTCCTCTTCGAACGGCGACATCGTCACTTGCAGTATCTTCGACAAGTTCCCTGTGTTTCTACAACCTGTGAAAATGCATCTTTTGTGAATACATCTTTTGACTCTAGCTGCTAAAATTCTTTATTTTTTCGTTTGTATTTTTGCTTACATTATCTTGAATAGTGCTCCAATATAATAGAATCATAAATTCTGAGCCATGTCATCATATATTCTAGCGCATACAATAATCTGATAAACAAAAAATAAAGCAACAACAAACTAACCTTTGAAAAAATACTGCATAACAGTGACTTTATCTTCAACACAGCCCGCATTCATGACACACATTCTGATCACATCGAGAGCTTCAAACACAAGACCTCTTGCCAAGTAAAGATTGCAACAAGACTGCCAATCTTCTAATTTGTCATGGTCGTTGACTCTAATAGAGCAGGTCGCTATATCTCCATCTCTATCGCGAATGTTTTGGATTGGTGCTGGCTTCCTGACATGAAGGTATTGAAGCGCCGCCTGAGTCTTTTTCTGTGCTAGCAATGTTGATAGTACTACGTTGTGTTGCCAGTCTGAGAGGGTGTTGCCTGTTAGACATTGGAGTTGGTCGAGGGCGAACTGTGGAGAAAAGATGGGAAATTAGATTGTTTAAAGGTATTGTAACTTTTGAATGTTTTTGTCAAAACTTTCTATGGCAATGTATTTTTTTGGATAGAGTGTAACGTTTATCACTACATAGTATAAAACAAAGTGGCTATCCGCCGTCTGTCTGTCCCTATGTATGCTTAGATCTTTAAAACTACGAAACAGTTTTTTTTTAACAGATAGAGTGATTCTTAAGGAAGGTTTATATGTATATACATGCATATTGCACCCGTGCGAAGCCGGGGAGGGTCGCTAGTAGTAATGAAAGTAAATATGTGATACCAAAAGGAATCATGATAACAAAAGAATACTAATTAGTTAGAATTATTTACTGAAAGCAAGATTTTTTACAGTTTTAGGTATACAGATTTCAGGATCAAATAAATCAATTTATTTTCTTTTCTTCAATGTTATTTTCTAGGTACAGTATAACTTACGTCAAAGTCCCTGTGGTCTAGATGCCAGAAGGCCTGGGTAGCCTTTATAGCCGTGTTACTGAGACCAAACATTGTGGGGAACTGCATTAGTCTACGGATCACAGCCTCATACCTGTTGAAACAAAATTGGCTTATAAATAACTTATGCAAAGAGATAGAAAGATTATCAAATCTTAAATCAAAGTACATCAGAGCCTTTACCCAAACGCCACTTTAGCGCTTGTCTACAGAGAGAGTAGAAATCAAAATGTATGGGGATGACACTGACAAGTGTTAAAATTTACGCCAATTCCATATAATTTGGTTTTCTATTCTCCATGTAGACAAGCGCTAAATGGCATTTGGCTACAGCTGCAGTACAATTGGGTAATTGTCAAATAGTGAAATTATACTTATTATTATAGATACTTTTTTCGAACTGTCAAAACGACAGTTTTCTATGAATATTGTACGGGATTGTGTATTGTGACGTCACGTTTTTTTACGTCAAACAGTAAACTTATATCTTAAAAATTTGCTGGAAAAATACTAAAATTAAGTTGGTCCCAAAATCAATCAATGAAAGTGGGATTATTTTTTAATATATTTTTTTTTTATTTTTATTTATTTATTTATGGATTGGAAAACCAACAGCTACACATAGCAAACAAACAGATAACATAATAACAACAGAAAGCCAATTACAGGTTTTCACGAATAGATTTCACATTATTCAATTAAAAAAAAAAACACTCACAGTCCAAACAAATACTTCGTTTATTGTATTGAATAGTATATTATATATTGAGTAGTTGAAATAATTTATTTTTTATTTATTAAGAAAAGTACCCAATTAAGACAGACATCATACATTCTCTTTTTTTTTTTTTTTTTTTTAAAAAGAACGTTGCCCCACATTAGGATTATCTCCTGTGTCGTGGGTGCGTTTACAAACATACAAGTTCACATACACATGACACCCAGACCCGAAACAACAATTTGTAGATTACACAAAGTGTTGTTCCGTGCGGGAATCGAACCCGCGACACGTTGCACGGCAGCCAGTTGCCCAGCCACCGCACCAACCGTGCAGTCAATTTGTCAACATTGAGATATAGAATAATAATGAATTTATAGATCTCGATCGGTATTTATCGATGGTAGTTTTCATTCAACATTACAACCGGTAGTCAAATGAGATTTTTTATTGAAAGTAGACAAGATTTTTTTAAGGGAGGAAAATCATCGAATGACTGCTCCCGCCTGGGTGAGACGGGAGGGAGTGTCAGACTCTTACTGACTAAAAACCACCCTGTTCGTTCTCCTGCACGTCGACCCGGAGCCCCGGTTACCCGTAAGGTTCTCCGCGACAAAGTAGACAAGATTACCTGATGCTAAGTCATCATCAGAGCCTAGGCACACTCGAAGAATTAGACTTACAAGTGCGTTGTCAGCCTTTTGAGACGTTGGAGTTGAGTATAGGCCAGTCCAGTGGCATTAATATGTATTAACATTGAAAATGTTTTCATCACAACATTTACTTTTATAACTTGACTTGAGCCACTTACCTAACTTCATCGTATACCATAGAATAGTCCACAAGTAGATATAGCACTAGAGAATGTTTGTGTTCCTCCGCGATATCCGGCAGTAAGTAGAGACGGAGTAGAGAGTATAGAGACGGAGGCGGGTAGAGACCGTTGCATTGACTGCCGCCTTTTATCCATAACCTGGTAAAAAAGGAGATTATAATTTTTCGGAATGTTAATGTTACTGGAATATGTTGTTTAGGCAGAGTTTGCGTTCATTGGAGTCTGAGAAAATATAACACATAACATAACATCACGCCTTTTATCCCCGAAGGGGTAGGCAGAGGTGCATATTACGGCACTTAATGTCACTGTACAATGTAACACCCACTTTTCACTATTTATGTTATGAGTCTCATGTAATAGGGGGTGAGCCTATTGCCATATACCAGGCACATTTCCAGACTCCGTGCTACTACTGAGATTTTTAAAAAACCCAATAATACTTTGCCCGATACGGAAATCAAATCCGAGACCCCTTTCCGGCAGTCGCACGTTTGCGACCACTCGGCCAATGAGGCAGGAGAAAATATCTGTATGTATTTAAAAAATACTGCCTGCTGCCCATGTTTCGATAACTGGTTGTAAACAGTAACTGTAGTTTTACGACATATAAGTGGTCTTAAACAAGTCACATAGCTCCATACTTTGAAACCATACATTTGAATACAAGAGTAATTAGATTTTAAAATATTCAAACAAAAATATTTCGTGGGTTCGTTTTGCCAACCGCTACCATAATGTAATGAACATATCTATTAAAAAATACATAAAAAAGCTACTTACTGATGCGTCCTCTCCCCACCAAACTCTTGTTCAATGAGCTGGTCAATGTATAAAAGAGAACAAGGCTTGTTAGCTTCATTCTCATCTGTAGGCGCGTTGTCTTGCAAACGATTCAGTTTCAGACGCCTGTAAAAAATAATCAATGTATTTTGCATTTAATTGTGAAGTAAACAAGGAAGCTTGCGCAAAAACTTTAGAGTTTGCGCAATGGCATTGCGCTAATTTTGCGCAAAGAGTGTTGCGCTAATATCTTTAGCGTATGCAAATTTCAGTATCGTTTATTATATTGTTTTTTTTTAAATTCAATGTGGTACTTTGCGCAAGTGGTTGTTAACACTATAATATTTTTAGTTATCTTTCTCCATTACAGAGTATCCTTACCTTTTATTATAGATTGAATACAACTGCGGTGCAGGATAAGGTAGAGCGTTGAATGCGTCATGTCGCTCAGGCAACAATCCGACGCGTAGAAACCATTGTACTACTTGGAAGTATAGGGATACAGTGCCTATGCCTTTGTATTTCTCTTCTATCTCACTCAACGCTGGAAAACAAAAAACAATGTTAGTTTTTGGAGTGGTTTTAAGTTGTTCATTGAACTCTGTCAAAATATCAAAATTAATAAAGACAGACAGATTCGAATTGTAGAATGTAGAACGAATATATAGTATATTTGAATTTATATATATAAATGAATCCTTTTTCCCTTTGGTGACGGCATCACGCGTGATTGGCTGGACCGATTTCACTAATTCTTTTTTGTTGTATTTGTTATTATTAAGAGAAGAAAAGAACAGAAAAAAATCCTGAAAATCTTACAGGAACGGGAGAAAACGGGATTGCGAGTACGAAGTCGCAGGCAGAAGCTAGTCCTACAATAGAATTAATTCATAAAGAGCTTATTAGCAATAAGGTTACCATAGCCAATATTTTTTTACAACAAACTCAATAACTCTCAATTCTGTATTTAGCATCAAAGTTTCACTAGAGCAACTAGTAAACAATGAAAGAAGAAAGAAGATTCTTTTAAAATTAATGACCAAGTTTAGTAAACAATGAATGGCTTACCATCAGGTATAATAAGATTGCAGCACTTGGTAAGCACGGCATCCAGTAGACCAGTCAGCTGTGTCAGTTGTTGTACGCAGTGCTCGAGGCAACGTACTACGTTCCTAAAATATTAAAATATATAGTAATATATACACGGTACAAACGGAATAATATAAGTATATTACAGAATTTTCATCTATAAACTACATCAAACCACAGAAATGTACATATTATCATGTAATATAATACTGTATACTATTTAAGAGGTTTCCTTATAGATTATGGGCCCCTGACGTAGTTTGAAACTGTTCGTATAACCTCGTAAAATAGGCAACGCCGCACAAAGTTATTTGATATTAGTTTTTTTTTATGGCATAATCCGGTAGAGCAGATGGATCACCTGATGGTAAGCAATCGGCGTCGCCCATGGACACCTGGAGCACGAGAGGCGTTACAAGTGCGTCACCGGCTTTTTAGGGATTAGGAGCTTGAGGATCGCTGGGGATTCAGGGATTGGCGAGATTGGAGAAGGCGAAGGTAATTGGGCCTCCGGTAACATCACTCACACGACGAAACACAACGCAAGCGTTGCTTCACGTCGGTTTTCTGTGAGGCCATGGTATCACTCCGGTCGAGCCGGCCCATTCGTGTCGAAGCATGGCTCTCCCACACTTAAAAAACTTAAAGTTTTCTTTTATAGAAGTAAATATAATATTTATTATTGTCTTACCTATCAGGCAAAGCAGAAGACGAGAACAAAGGAGCAGTGAGTTCTTTGGCATTCTCCTTTAGTTCTATAGCTCGCTTCCAGCTCCAGTCTACTAGGAAGGGCAGCGTGCAGCCAGCCCCCGCGTGGGTGCCGGTGGCCCAGTCGTGGGCGCAGCGCTTCAGGAGGCGGGACAGTCGGCCTTCTAAGCATACTGACAGCAGATATCGGCGTTGTTCCTCCTGATTTGGAGAAGTCAGAATGTAAAGTTACTGAATTTGGAGGATTTGATATACTTTTAGGTATTTGTTTCAATGCTACTAATAAAAATATGCGTTCAGAAAATTTATTTATTTATTTAACACTAGAAACCTTATGAATGGAATATTTAAAGGCAAAGAGATATAATGTACTATTAGTTTGTTACAACTTTAACATCCCTTTAGTTTGAAACACGTAATAGCAATATGACCTATTCTTTCCAACAGACTAGAAGTTCCATTTTTCATTCGATCGAAATCGAAAAAAAAATCAATAGATTAGCCATGGTCATTGGTTGCTTTTCATTTAGCGTGTTAGATGTAGATAGACACACAGAGAAGCGAGTTTTAAAACTTTAAATAATTATTATTACTTACCAAGCTAACATTCGTGGAGTACGTGTGCACGTATAGAGGCGTCAGGCCCGCAGTGACGCATGCGTTGTAGAGGCGCGTGGGGTTGAGTAGCGCGGTGGGGCCCACCTCGTCCAAAGACGCCACGATCTGGCGCTGGATGCCCACCGTGCCCAGCACGCATGCTTCTGACGTATTCAGGCAGATACAGTCTGGAAATAGAATAAAATGTATTAGGTAAAGTGGATAGGCCACCTGATAAGGTCCCAGAGAGGTTTAACTCGCTATACTACGCTACTAAAACGTCAATCAATTTTAAGTCGCGCTTAAGTACCTATAGTTGTGTCGCTACAAATTCTTTGTAAAATGACAGAGATGGCACGATATTTGAGTACAATATAAAACTGAACAGCGTTTCAGTATTCGGGCGTTGATGAATGACCTTTTCAATGATCTGGATTAGGGGTCATGTTCAGCAATGGATATCATGTGGCTGATGTAGTGATGATGATGATTATGACAATACATAGATAAAAAGGGGTGCTTTTAATATTTATTACTGTCTGTTAAGATACATTTTTAGGTTGCTGATATGTTAGGGTTAATAAATAAGATTACCTAACCTTCGGGAATAAAAGATGGGATAATAATTAGTTTTAGTTTAGTTTAGTTTTTTAGAAAACGTTGCCCCACATTAGGATTTTCTCCTGTGTCGTGGGTGCATTAAGAAACATACAAGTTCACATACACAATGACACCCACACCCGGAAGAACAATTTGTGGATCACACAAAGTGTTGTTCCGTGCGGGAATCGAACCCGCGACACGTTGCACGGCAGCCGGTTGCCCAGCCACCGCACCAACCGTGCAGTCAATTATTGTGATGAAAGTTTACTAAAACAATCTCAACTATAGTTGACGAATCCACATACGACCCGCCTGGCTAGGAGGTAATTGCCAAAATTAGCCCAATGCATTACTTCGACTTTAAATTATTTGCTTTATTATAAGCAATACTCACTGTACTGCAAAGAATTAGGATAGAAATGCTCTTCAAGCCGTGTGGCGTGCGAGTAGACGGCCACGGAGGCGGGCGCCAGCCGCACGTCCAGCGTCACGCAGTCGGCCGCGGTCAGCTCGCCGCACCACGTCACGCTCATGAACGCGGTGCTCTCGAGGCGCCACGTCGCTGGGGGGAAATTAATTTTATATAATTGATATAAAGGTTACAGTTGTCTGGCTTTAAACTGAAGTTGTAGTGTAATTACAAATGTTGAAAAATCAGTATTGGAATTTGAACTTTATTTGATTATGTATGCAGTTGCAATTCAATTATTTAGTCAGAGTCAAAGCGTTTATTGCAACTAAGTGTATGATGATGGTGGATTGATGGTTATAAAATTATTACAGTGCTTAATACTTAGCGGCCTCTTACAGACATTGCAACATTTTTAGTTATGTAGGTACACATTCATTGTTATTAACATTGTAGGTAGATATTACAAATCATAAAGAAGATTTATTGCATAAGTAAAACAAAAACATCACATAAATAGTTCTTCTCTTTTTTCTAGACCACAGTAATATGCTTATAACATTATGGTGTGCAAAATTGATCTCTGGGCCCTTCTCCATAAGGTTTAAATCAATGTATAATTATAGTTTTGATTGGCAAACAATATAAAATGTGAGTTACCTGGCATTTGATCTTTGTACCACTGATCTAAATCAAACAGGAGCATTCCATACTGAGTTGAGGAGTTGGCATTCTCGCCCCAACACTCCCACACAACCTGACAAATGTTTAACATACCTGAAAGTGAGAAACAATGAGATATAATAAAATTTTCTGTCTCTAGGCGATGGAGTGGATTTTTTCTATAAATTATTGTTCAGGGTCTGAATGTAATTTAAATTAAAATAAAGTTGTGTTGTGTCATGTGATCCAAAAAAAAAGATGCTGGTGTGGGGCAATGATATGTTTTTATTGGTCGCAAGTGCGACTGCCGGGCAAAGAGTCTCGGATCCGATTCCCGGGTCGGGCAAAGTATTACTGGGTTTTCTAAAAATCTCAGTAGTAGCACGGAGTCTGGAAATATGCCCGGTATATATGGCAATAGGCTCACCCCCTATTACATGGGACTCATAACATTAAAAGTGAAAAATGGGTGTTACATTGTACAGTGGCATTAAGTGCCGTAATGTACACCTCTGCCTACCCCTTCGGGGATAAAAGGCGTGATGTTATGTTATTTATTTAACAGCATTGGAAGACTAACAGCGGGGTTATTATCACGTCCTAAAGTCAGAATGGTTCCATTGAGGGAAAGAAACAGAGCTATACAAGTCATCTAGCGAGATCTCGTTTCCTCAGCGGAATCACTTTGGCTTTAAGACGTCATAATACGCCACCAGTTATCAATAGAGCAAGTAAAAAAATGCGTATGAAACTGACAGCCTTTACACTATAAAATAATGTAGTCAACACTGCAGTCACCACAAAATTAATACATACATAAAAAATAAATAAAAACAAAAGCAAAAATGTATTGTTATAGCACTAAATCCCAGTTGGTTGGAAGACAATGTGCTATATTAAATTTAATCTTACTAGAATAAACAAAAACCCGATTGGTAGCTGACAACTCATTAAATGTGAATAGTATTCATATAAAAAAAAAAAAATTTCATCAACTATTATGTACATACCAACAAAATATTAGGAAAAACCTGTTAAGCAAGAGCATGCTTGTGGTAGGCGATCTTACTATACTAAGGACATCAACTAAACATAAGTTTATAAAAATAAATAAAAAGAAAGAAAATTAAAATTGAACAATTATAAACTGAAAACTAAAAGGGAATAAGTAACGTGAAATTAGAATACATTAGTTCGCACACTGAGTGTATGTAATGGTTTTAATGTAATGTTTCAAATTGTACTCACTCTCTTCGCCCTCAGCTGCAAGTGTAGAGTTGACAGAATAAGTATGACAAGACACACACTTCCCGCCAAGTAACGCAGACTCATCAACTGTACTCAACTCGAGTTGAAATCTTATTGTTGCAGTGGAAAATTCCTAGAACAAAAGTATTACTTGTATTTTTCCAAAATAGTTTTTATGTCTGCCTCGTTGGCCGAGTGGTCGCAAGTGCGACTGCCGGGCAAGGGGTCTCGGGTTCGATTTTCGGGTCGGGCAAAGTATTACTGGGTTTTAAAAAAATTCTCAGTAGTAGCACGGAGTCTGGAATTGTGCCCGGTATATGGCAATAGGCTCACCCCCTATTAAATGGGACTCATAACATAAATAGTGAAAAGTGGGTGTTACATTTTACAGTGGCATGATGTGCACCTCTGCCTACCCCTTCGGGGATAAAAGGCGTGATGTTGTTATGTCTTTATGTTTCCAGCTTACTGGCGTAACTCCGCGCAAAAATTCCGCGACGTGGCGACTGTCGCGCTGCTACTGGATATGAATACTGCTCATGAATATGAGATTCTTCCTCGCGATTCCAAAGCAGTTCCTCATCAAACAGTTAGGTGAGTAAGTCAGAAACATAAAAATTAATTTTGTATTTATGCTATTGGAAAAAGTGTCAACTCATTCTAGTGTTCTACAAATAAAGTAACACAAAGTTACGCCTTTGTAATATTCACTTATACATGTCCACATATTCTAAGATTACTTTGCTTGAAAATTTGTAAAGATTTCTTGTAGTTTTTGTATCAATAACTATTGTGAAACTTAATTAATTCTTAAACTGTCAAACACCACGAGGATACCGAGTTAGTCTTGGTAAACTCTTGATTGCTAGATGCTCAACGCAATTATTTTCGCACTTAATGCCAACGATTAAGGGCCCTGGTATGGATCGACTAGTCGGGTTACTTCGAAAACCTACTAAACCTATATAATTTAGTTACCTGATAAAGACACTTAGTGTCAGACAGCATCCTCTTGCCTTGGTAAGTGAGGGAGTACATCACAGCCAGTGGAAACTCCTCTTCTTCAAACCTGTCTATCACTGAGAATACCACCCATAGGTAGCAAAATGCTCGAGGATCATCACAGGGCTCCTGAAAGAGAAGAATATCTTATTTTAACATTAAAACTAAGGGTGTTTAAAGTATAATGTCATGTTTACTATCACAAAAAATCAAATAACCTTGTGTTATGTGCCCTGCCTATACCAAATCCATTGAATAGCGACATGATAGCCAATGACGCACAAAGCGACACATTTACGGAATATTGCAACACCTAATATGCTGAGTCGACTCCTCGTGTCGCCGCCTCGTGACTTACTTCCACAGTGCTGATGTTGCATCTGTATTTTACGTAGAATTAATTCAGACTATAATATGTATTAATAAAATAATTCACTTTGGTACTAGCATCGTCCAAGTCTACACATAAAACTATTGTAATTTTTAATTAATTAAACTTTTATCTTAAAAGTTTCGATTATTTCAAAGTCCTCCGGCTGTCACCTACGTAATTGGCGCAGTCGGTAGGATATTCGAGGCAGCGTGGCGCAGTACAGATTTCCAAAAATCGTTAATCTACTGACTCCGGAAGTCGCTGTCGGTACTTCCAAGTACATCGTCGAGTATCCGAACTTCAGAAGGTGCAGCTGAGGGCGTATCCAGTCATCGATACATCGAAATAATCATGTACATGTAAGTCCTTGAAACTTTCTTTAAGTGTTGCTCCCTTATCCTTCCTTTTCACCCTTTTATAAAAATTAATCAAAATTTTTCATCCAAGGGTAACCAGGAATAAATCTGTCTCTTCCAGACAGATAAGCAGGTGTAGGGAATTAGATTCTAATAGGGTTATCGATTCAGATAATTTAGGTTTAGAAATATTCGATATAAATAAGATGGCATTGAACCCCGATTCTATCTATAAGGCTTTGCGCCCAGTCCCGGAATTTGATGGCAATCCAAATGTCCTCACGCGTTTTATTAGAATATGCGATCAACTCGTAGTACAATACGTTAAAGATGATCCGAGTTGCGAATTAACTAATTTGTGTTTAATAAACGGTATATTAAATAAAATTACTGGATCTGCAGCCAGAACTATTAACTCTAATGGTATACCGGATAATTGGCAAGGGATCCGTGATGCTTTGATAAATAATTTCTCCGATCAACGAGACGAGACCGCTCTTTATAATGACATGTCCTTATTAACACAAGGGAGTAGTACCCCTCAAGAATATTATGACAAATGCCAGACCCTTTTTAGTACAATAATGACATATATTACGTTACATGAGAATATAGATACTACTATCGAAGCTAAACGCGTTCTATATAAAAAGTTAACATTGCAATCGTTCGTTAGAGGACTTAAAGAACCTCTAGGGTCCCGTATCCGATGTATGAGACCCGAAACTATAGAAAAGGCTCTGGAATTTGTGCAGCAGGAATTAAATGTAATGTACCTACAACAGCGTAACGAGAGTATTCCTGAACGGCGCAACCCGAATATACATCAAATGAACGCGAATCATAAAATACCACACGAGGTCCCTATGACCACACCGAAAGCTTTTAGATTCCCTAGCGCAGGCTCGAGTTGGCATAAACCTATGCCGCCGCAGCAGCAGCAGTCATGGCGACCACCCTTCCAGCACAATCAGGTAGGTCAACGTGCACCCAATATGTTCAGTCGTACGCAACAAATGTTTCGCGCACCCCCGCCAAATTATAATCCCCAAAGTAACGTGTTTAAATTACCACCGAGAAATCCCCAAGCGCAATATACCGGTCCGAAACCAATGAGCGGCGTCAGTCATTTCGTTTCCAAGCCCCTAGGATTGTCGGGACACGATTGGGAAGGCAGGAAACCCACCACCTACTAATTACTTTAAATCGCGTGAAGTAAATTTTAATGAAATATCGGAACACGATGACACTTATAATTACCCTGACTATTATTACGAACAACCCAACTACTATGACTATAATGACTATTACGACTACTATAACTACGACCAGACTGGACTCGACTATTATTCGTATGAACCAGATGACGAGCAATGTCAGACGGTAATAATTCCAACCAGTTAGAGGCTCCGCAGCCATCTACTTCCAAAGACATTCAGGATTTTCAGAAGGACAAGAATCAAAAGTCACTAAAATAGAATTACACTTACAGTCTAAAAAGGAATTGCGTTACATACAAATATCAGATCCACCCCTTAAATTACTAGTAGATACCGGTGCTAACCAATCCTTTATGAGCCCCGAGGCAGTTGAGAAATATTTTTCACATATCCCTGTAAATTTCGATCCTTTTGAAGTTACAAATGCGCGTGTTACTAGCACACACGAACATTCTATTACTATTCCGAATTTTCCCGAATTTAATAACCCTACAAAAGTAAAATTTTTCGTCTATAAATTCCACAATTACTTTGATGGTCTATTAGGTCTAGATTTACTTGATGGTGCTCAAATTGATCTTAAAAATAACTATTTAATTACCGACTTTGCTAATATACCCATTCGTTTTTATCAGCGTAAGAAGTCATGTTATCAAGAAACTATTCCCGCTTATTCGTCTAAATTATTAAATGTTCCCATCTACTGTCCAGACGGTGACGTTTCGATAACTCAGCAAATGTATTGTAACTGCGTTATTCATGAATGCATTACTCGCGTTACTGACTGTACTGGAATTATAGAAATCGAAAACCCAAGCGAGTATGACCAACTTATTACATTCGATCAACCTTTACACGCTGACATATTTAATATCGAGTGCACTAGCACCGAACAAGATCCTAAGCGAGTCAAAGAAGTACTATCGCGATTACGTACAGACCATTTAAACGTAGAGGAAAAAACTAACTTAGAAACTTTGTGTGCTCGTTATGCGGACGTATTTTATGTTGAAGGAGAGCCCTTGACTTTTACTAATAAAATTAAACATCGTATTAGAACGACCGATGAAATTCCTGTTTATACTAAGAGTTATCGCTATCCTTTTGTTCACCGGCAGGAAGTTAGAGATCAAATCACTAAGATGCTCGATCAAGGTATAATAAGACCGTCCGAGTCAGCTTGGAGCTCACCTATCTGGGTAGTTCCTAAGAAAGCCGACGCATCAGGCAAGCAAAAGTGGCGAATTGTAGTAGATTTCCGTAAAGTCAACGACAAAACTATAGATGACAAATATCCAATTCCTAATATAAATGATATACTTGACAAACTCGGTAAATGTCAATACTATACTACATTAGACTTAGCTTCAGGATTTTATCAAGTGGAAATGTCTCCGGAGGACATTCCTAAAACCGCCTTTAACGTGGAACATGGGCACTTTGAATTTCTGCGTATGCCCATGGGTTTAAAGAACTCTCCATCCACTTTCCAACGAGTGATGGATAACGTGCTCAGAGGCCTACAAAATGAAATATGCCTTGTGTATCTAGATGATGTAATTATATTCAGTACATCATTACAAGAGCATATGATTAATCTGGAAAAGGTTTTTAAAAGATTACAGGAGTCTAATTTTAAAATCCAAATGGATAAGTCGGAATTTTTAAAATTAGAAACCGCGTTTTTAGGTCATATAATCAGCGCTGACGGTGTCAAGCCTAACCCTGATAAGATAGCAGCAATAGAAAAGTATCCCTTACCTAAAACGCCGAAGGAAATTAAACAGTTCCTAGGATTATTAGGCTATTACAGGAAATTTATCCCAGACTTTGCACGTATTACCAAACCTATGACAAAATGTTTAAAGAAATCAAATAAAATCACTTTTGACTCTGACTATATTGACTGTTTTAATAAATGTAAGACTTTACTGACTAACGACCCAATCTTGCAATACCCCGACTTCACTAAAGAGTTTATTTTGACTACTGATGCTTCGAACATAGCAATAGGCGCTGTACTCTCGCAGGGTACTGTAGGTTCAGATAAACCCATCTGCTATGCTTCGAGAACCTTGAACGATAGCGAAAGTAACTATAGTACAATCGAGAAGGAACTTTTAGCCATTGTGTGGGCCACTAAATATTTTAGACCCTACCTATTCGGTCGAAAATTTAAAATACTTACCGACCATAAGCCACTACAATGGATAATGAACCTTAAGGAACCCAACTCAAGGTTAACTAGATGGCGACTTAAGCTTAGTGAATATGACTATACAATTATCTACAAGAAAGGAAAATATAACACCAACGCAGATGCATTGTCCCGTGTAGAAATACATAATCAAGAGACCGAGTCAATGGTGGCTAACCCTTCAGAACGACCACTATCTCACACAGGTTCCACAACCGCCACTGCACACACCAGTACAGAAAATCCTATTCTAGAAGTCCCTATTACGGATGAACCGTTGAATAAATTCCATAGACAGATATGTATTACAATAGTAGGTAATATCAAACGTCGGACATCTGCAACTAAACCCTTTGACACACACACTCGCACCTCTATTCAAGTATCAGAATCAAAATTAGAGCATGATGTAGTTAACGCTATCAAAGAATATGTTAACCCTAAAGTTAGAACAGCTATCAAAATTACTCCACCTTTAGGAATGTACTCAATTATACCCATCATTCAAAATAATTTCAAAAGTTCCGCTCTCAACCTAGTATTAACCAATACTGAGTTAGAAGATGTTAAAGAGTATTTACGACAGCAGGAAATTATAAAACAGTACCATGAAGGCAAAACTAACCATAGAGGAATAAATGAATGTTACCTTGCTCTTTCGAGAAAATACTATTGGCCTAAAATGAAAGAGGAAATAGCAAAATACATTAACGAGTGTAGGATCTGCGGACAAACTAAATACGATAGAAATCCAATAAGACAACAATTAAATGTAGTACCCCCAGCTACTAAACCATTAGAAATAGTACACATGGATCTTTTCACTGTCGAGAATGAAAAGTATTAACCATAGTAGACGTTTTCTCGAAATATGGTCAGGCATACTATCTTAGAGATGGCACAGCAATTAGTGTCTTACAAGCAGTCTTAAATTATAGCACTCACCATGGACTTCCGTTAACCATCATAACCGATAACGGCACTGAGTTCACAAATCAGCTTTTCTCTGAGTTTATTAGGTTACATTGCATTAATCACCATAGGACATTACCTCATTCACCTAACGATAATGGCATAGTCGAACGGTTTCACTCCACTATATTAGAACACTTACGTATTTTACGCCTACGTCAAAAGGACGAACCTGTAACTTATCTAATGCCTTACGCAATATTAGCGTATAACAGCTCAGTGCACAGTTTTACAAAGTGTAGACCACATGATATAATAAGAGGACATTTCGACCCCAGAGATCCCCTCGACGTTAACATGACAGAACATCTCATGCAACAGTATATCTTGACACACCGTGACCAAATGAAAACCGTATACGACATTATAAACCATTTTACACTAATCGACCGAACTAATATCATAGAAAACAGAAATAAAGATAGAGAACCTGAAATCGAATATCCATCGGACCAACAAATATTTATTAAGAACCCACTAGCCAGTCGACAAAAACTAGCACCTCGTTATACCCACGACACTGTGTTAGCTGATCTTCCGATACACATTTACACTTCTAAAAAGAAGGGCCCCGTAGCAAAATCTCGTCTCAAACGCGTTCCTAAGACATCCAAATTGTTACAGAATACTACTGGCGATGATCGTTCACCCAACACTGGCGCGCGAGATAAGACTTGAGACCTTAGATGATGGACCCGGACTCTTACCTTTCAACCTTGGACAAGCGAGACTCATTACACACTACCACTCCTTCTTGCAATACATAGAACTAACCGACATTGACTCAAGACTTAATTCTGTGACGACTCAACTAGATTACTTTAAGACTAAATTAGATAATCAATCTCTTCATTTATTCGAATTTCAAATTAATCATTTATCCTATAAATTAACTAAAATTAATACCCAGTTACAAACCTTAGAGCCCAATCGTAGTAAAAGAGGTCTCCTGACGGATTAGGTTCAATTATAAAAAGCATTACCGGTAACTTAGATCATACGGACGCACTAATGTACAATAATGCCATTAAGGTCTTAGAAAGCAATAATGAAAAAATAGCATCGGAATTTAATGAGCATGTTAGTCTTAATAAAGCGTGGATGACTCGTTATAGCGATTTACTCACGAAAATTGTAACTAATCAAGAAAGAATAAATAAAACATTAGAGCAACTTTTAGATAAGAATGCTGCTAGCGATTTAATAAGATTCGCGAAGTTTGCGCAATTATTAGTAATAATTAGCGATAACATAGATGACGTATTCTTAGAGATAACTAAAATAGAAGATACCTTAGCTTTTATACGTGCATCGAGCACTCATCATAGTATGTTAAGCATAGAAAACTTAAGTAATATGATTACTAGATTAAAAACCATATATAGTCCAAATCAACTGTTAGATGCAGATTTAAGAGAATACTATACAATCATTAAACCTGGTTACTACTACATTAATAAAAGAATAGTTATAATATTTAAGTTTCCCATTATATCTTTAGATAAATTTGAATTTTATAGATTAGCCATAGTTCCCAATAAATTCATGTACACCTTTATCCCTCCTTACCCTTACCTTGCAACCAATGGGAAAGTTTTCAAGTACATAGAGGCAGAATGCCCGAAGTTCAACCAGTATCATCTCTGCGAGGAAGGAATCGACCGCCAACCGACGAGAGGACATCTAGACTGCATCCAAGAACTAATCTTTAATCAATCCCTGAAGAAATCCTGCCTGCCTACGAAACTCACACTAGTCAAAGAAGCTATGGAGCAACTTGACGACAGACGCTACACACTTACCTTTCCACGACCAACTCGGACGGAGCTGCACTGCGATCGCCAAGAATTCATCTCTCTACACGGAAGTTATCTGGCTACTATCCCGCAGAACTGCCTACTACGCACTGATCAGTTCACAATCACTAACACGAACGATCATATCAAAGGACAACCTCTAAAGATAACCGAAATACCAATGAACTTAAATCTAACTGAAGAACCGATTCCACACCTGAAATTAAATTCGTTGCATCTGAAAAGCCTTCACGAGATCGAAGATAAAATACTCATGCAGAATCCCGTGCAACTGGAACATACACAGTTATCGCAATCATTCTACCACACAACGATACCACTATACGTCGTACTATTCGGTGCAACTGCACTCATTGTTGCAACCGCATTACGCCACTACAATGTTTGCACTAAATTTACGAGGCCGCAAGCAAATGATGAGATCACCGAGAATCATCCACCAGAGCCATCGGCCGCCGGAGCAGATACATCTACAGTCACCGAGAACCAGATGCCAGCAACATTCTCGCTCAAATTGCTCAAATAGTTGCTGTTCTGAGGGTGGAGGTGTTATGTGCCCTGCCTATACCAAATCCATTGAATAGCGACATGATAGCCAATGACGCACAAAGCGACACATTTACGGAATATTGCAACACCTAATATGCTGAGTCGACTCCTCGTGTCGCCGCCTCGTGACTTACTTCCACAGTGCTGATGTTGCATCTGTATTTTACGTAGAATTAATTCAGACTATAATATGTATTAATAAAATAATTCACTTTGGTACTAGCATCGTCCAAGTCTACACATAAAACTATTGTAATTTTTAAATTAATTAAACTTTTATCTCTAAAAGTTTCGATTATTTCAAAGTCCTCCGGCTGTCACCTACGTAATTCTTGTAAAAACGATTTAATGACAATCCTTAACGAGTCATGTGACAATATTTCAATTACACCAATTCATTATTACAAAACGAAGTTGAAAAAGGCTGAAAGTGTTTAGAGCAATAACTATCAGCATGACTTAATCACGTTTGACTAAATTGATTAATTTATTTCTAGTTTATTTAAAATATAAAAATAGAAAAAGTACAGACGGAGAAAGGGAGTACCTGAAATCCGAAATGTGTAACCGGCAAGCATTCAACATTGACTTGCGATGTAAATTCCAAATCCAAAGTCATAATGTTCCAAATCTGGAATGCTCCAAAGTTGTAACCGACTGCCAGACTGCCCAATTGCGGAATGTACTGTAGAACGGTCACACGAATATGATCTCTCTTGGCCTTCATGCGTACTGAACCGTCCGGGTTACGGAATATGTATTGGCCGTCTACTAAGGAGTTTTCATTCAGTAGGATAGCTAAGTGATCACAGTTTTCTAATGCTAATTCTCTTTGTTCTCTAATACGATGAATTGCACTGAATTGTAAGAAGCTCAGGTTGGCTGGATTTGTTTCATTCAGAACTAAGTTTTCGTAACCTTGCGAGATGTCTTTCAATGCTGGAACAAGAATTATTTTTAGGTGAGTGAAGTGTGTTATCAAAGAGTGCGTACGACGACTACGTATACTACGCGAATGCGCTGCATCTACGCGCGTGCAATTTTGTTCGTGCCACGCATCAATCAGCGAGCGAGAGCGAACATGAATTTGACAGATGTCGAAGCACCCGCGTCATGAAGTAAATATTTATAATAAATGTTAGAAGTAAATATTTTTTTATATCTTTCGAGATTGTGTCAAAGAAGCATTACCTTGCATCAAACCAGCTCTATGTAAATCAAAAGCAAATATCTCTCCACTCTTCGTTCCAGCCATGACCACTCCGTCAAAACATGTGAGTGGTCCATCGGGTATTCTATCCCACACCGCTAACTCCGTGACAACCACTTCGGTTTGTATGCAGCGAAGTATCTGTGAGCCATTGACATGGAGGACACAGATCATACCAGCTTCATCACATTGCAAGCTGATAATGAGCTGTACGGAGTTTGAGGTTAATGGTCTAGGTAGCTCCACTACACTAGTTACAAATGTGTTGATATTGCTGGAATTAGAAAAATGTAAAATGTATTTAATTGAATAAAACAGAAGAAAATCTAATTAGACTACTCAAAACATAGGTACAATTGAAAGAAAAAAGAAATATTTTACGCATAAAAACAGATTATTTATTTTACGTCCCTTGTAGATTATTAGTTATTTCTATTATTTGGATATTGTATTGAATGTTTCCTTATTATTAATCCCTAGGCATAATAAAGATGAATAATAATAATAATATATTACGGCGAATTGACAAATATGTTGTCCTAGACATTTATGGTAGACTCAAAACTAGTCTTAATCTAATTAGCATATAGGTGTTTTTGTAGATAGTATGACTTCATACAAACCTCTGTGGAGCACCAAATGTTCGCGCTGCTACTTTCAACCCGGTTCTAAGATCAACCACACAGAATTTCGGACCCAAAGCCAGCCAGCCATGCTTGGTGTCCTTCAAAATCCCGCCAAGAGGTGTCTTATCTGTGAAGTTAGCGTAATTATCGTAATCATATACGTAATTTTCACCCACTCAACACCCATATATTATATTCGACTATGTATACATATGAAGTCACCACAAACAAACGTACCTGAGAAATCCTCCGTCGGTTGCAAAAAACTAAACACTGCAGGCGACAAATTTGTCGTCTTAACTATAGAAAACACACTGTCTTGTAACTTTTGCATTTTACCAGATTGTTATTACGATATTTTAACTTCTAACCGAAAAATTTTGGGAGGTTATGATGCATATTATTGATACGATTTAATGTTACGATGTTAGTTTTGGAAATGCGTTGCATTAATTTAGCGACTAATAATTACCCTAAATACCCTAGATGTTATAACGTTTCAATAGTTTAAGAATTTTCATTATAAACTTGAATAGTAATCAGCGCGCGGCGGTATAGAATACGAAACCTTCAAAATTGACAGCTGTTCAAGCCAATGGCGGTGAATTCAGTGTTGCCATTAATGCACGCGATACGTGCGCGGAATGTGGATTGCGCTTTTAGGTTCAAAAAATACATTATTGACTTAATCAAGGACTGAATGTGTATTTTTATACATAGTTTAAAAATGGAGCAGTGCAATGATTATAAACAATTATTTTTGTATTATTTTATTTTACATTTAACATTTATTTTAGAAAATAGGTATCAGCTGATAGGCGATAGTGATGTAATACTTGAGCATTCTAACATGACCAATAACAGAGTTATCAGTAACTGTTATTTTACGAACATTCTATTTCCATGTTGGTCCTTTCGTTCAAAATATACAAAACTATGTTCTAAATATTCTAAACAACTAGTAGGTTTATGCTACGTATGTACATCTTTAAATTGAATCTCAATTTGTTAATATAAGAGTTGAATAAAATAAGTATGGTAAATGGATATGGGTCAAAAATCAAACCGTGTTTAAAAATAATAAATGTATTTCAGTTTTCAGTTGTACATGTTGGAAAGATTATAATTATAATAAAAACTAAACATTAAGTAAACTTATTTGTCTTTATACTATTCTAATTTCAAACTTTAGGTCACCTTAAATATAAAATTACACAATAAAATTATTTAAAAAGGAAACTAATATAATAACACTAAAATATACTTCACCATAATCAGTTTTGTAAGCCCTTGGCCAATTATAAAGTCAAATAATCACAGCCCATAAAGGCATTCACGAAAAGTTTCATCTTCAAAGTTGCAGTTCCGTAATTTTCGTCTAAATACAATATTACAGTTTCCTACGATGGTTACGTCAAGTCATTAAATTCGTTGTGGGTTCCAAAATAGCTCAGTGTTTCGACTGAAGCGGCTGTATTAGTGTAGGCAGGTACACCTGGATCGTAATATGGTGTTTGTAGGTTTTGTAGATTCTGGTTATACAGAAGTTAAAGTAGTTGCAGGAAGAAGCAGGAACGAGCAGCAGAAGATAAACAGAAAAATAGGAACAATTAGTTTAGTAAGAAAATAAACAAAAAAATTATAGTAACGGCGCATGTAAGGGCGTGCACATGGGTATAATATGAAAAGTGGCCAATGAAAAGGCAGAAATGATTATGTAGAAAAAACATGCTAATGTAAATGTTATTAAAAATTCTTATTCAGAATATTTCTTTACAATAGGTATTTTGAAACCACTATTAAGGGCAAGAGCTAATTTATTACGAGGTGTCTAAACAGCATACTGTATACATAAAAATTTAACGACTGCCGTTTATTTTCAAGTTAAGTTGACTTTTGTGGGCATAAGTGAGTGAAAGCCAACACTTTCAACAAAATTATTTCAAGAACATACTGATAATAAGGTTTATCTCCGATTAATAACACTATTTGAGCAATTTATTTTTTACGGTTCACTTGTGCTACTGAAACGTTAATAGTGTTTCTATTCGTTTCGGTTGCGTGAGGATTGATTTTCATTTGGCCCTGTACTATGTTCATCATTGAAGTATAAGGACTATCAGGAGTCTGATTTTTTTGTAAATTGTTTTCGGCCGATATATTGTTATCGTTACGAGTACTTTTGCTATCATAAACTGTACTTTTCATGGAAACGTAGGCCCTGTTAGGTGGCTGAGCATTTTTAGTGCCCGGACTAAAACCATTTTGTGTAACGACCGGGTTGTGAGGTCTCTGCGTACTCACACTTTCTGTTTTTGGTGGTGTTTGTGTACTTGTTACAGATGGAGCATCAAATGAATCATTTCGAGTGACTTGAAGACTATTAGACCTAGACGAATTAGCTAAAGAATGAAGTGTAGATGTGCTTCCTTTCAAACTTTCCAATTCTTTTGAATACACCTCTTCGCTTCTTTGAAATCTCTGAGCGTGTGACGTCAATGGTGACCTATTTTGGTTTATTGATGTGGCGCTTAAAGATCTACTCGGTGAATTATTTTGAACACTATCTATTGATGGGACTTGCTTATTTTCGGTTTTATGTGATGATTTTACTGGTTTATTTACTTTCACTTCCATAGATCCGTAAGCACTGTCCTTAGTCGAACTATGCGATGAGCCTTCTTCTTTCATTCCATATCTTCTAACTACGTTTGCAGGTGCAACTGCTTCTATATTCTGGACATCATAAGATAAAGGATTTCTTTCCGGCGCATGCTTGACTCCGTCAATAACTTCGCCAGTTCTGGGGTTAATATGTTTCTCTGTATCATAGCGTAAAGTAACTCTATGACTTTCATCAATTGGATGATTTCTTGGTCTATGTTCTAATTCTTCATCACTATGTTCAAACGCTGCTTCGAGGTGCTCCTCCTGGAAAAAAAACAGACCCATGAAATAATTCGTATCTCTACTAGAGTACTAGTGTACTCTTTGATGATTAAATTACACAATATTTCGTATTCATTCATAGATTCATTTATACTGTCAAACACCAAGCGGTCACCGGTGACCGCAACCTATTGTTCTTTAATTGTGTCTATAAATACGGTACTCGACGAGTTAATGTATGTACAATACAAACCTCTTCGTCAACTTCCTCAATAACACTATTTTGTATCCATTCGCGGATCCTTTGTTTCTTTGCTTGGCGGTCAACAGTTGTTTCGATTCCATTATCTCTAAAATGTTTCAGTAAAATGTTTTTCTCATTAGGGTCACTGTGAAAACTGTACATTGATGGGCAGAGTTCGTCAATATCCTCGCCAGCTGAAATGAAAAGTAATGAATTATTAGATGGAACTTGGTGCAGTCTAAGATTTACGTACTTATCTATTTCCTTATCACAATAGAATCAAAGACTTACCAACTCTATCAGTGTAGCCTTTACCTAGCCATCGGTCATCTAAGTACCGAGGAAGTTCCAAGAAATTGTTGGCCCTTTTCTCTTCTCTTGGTTCTACCAACTTTTTGAACATTTTTTGTGCCCTCGATGAAACCATTTTCCATAATTTTGGCGGTCGCTTCAATGGATTGGCACTGCTGTACCAATTGTAATAACTGTAATCAGAAAATAACATTGGAAGGTGACCTATTCGTAGCAATTAAAACAAATTTTACAGCATTACTCGTAGTTCGATGTGAAGCAAATTTAATGGACGTTGTTGGATATTACCTGGTGTATCGAGGGTCATCAAAAGCAGCTTTTTGCCAAGGCAAACATCCAGTGAGGCAAATGAAAATAACGATGCCAAATTGCCAAATATCATGGGTTATTAAAGCTCTGAAAGTGAAGAAATAAACATATTTTAGATCGACGCATTTGTAACGAAAGTAAACAAAGATTCCTGTCGATGTTGATTTGTGAAACTAAATGAATTTAGTTTGTTTATCATTCATTAGATTAGTTCTTGACGTTAGACGTGGATTTTTGATTTTAGTTAAGTCTTATGCATTTAATCTTTAATACAGCTTTCTTCAAGCATAGGACTATCGGTTGAACAACAAAAAAAAAGATGCACATTACGGCACTTAATGCCACTGAACTTTTCACTATTTATGTTATGACTCCAATGTAATAAGGGGTGAGCCTATTGCCATATACCGGACACAATTCCAGACTCCGTGCTACTACTGTGATTTTCAGGAGAAGTCAAAGATATGAAATAAAGATTTTACTTACTTGTAACTACTGTCCATGGACAATCTAAGTACTTCAGGAGGTGAATAGGGTAACCATTCGTTTCGTCTTCTCACAACTGATAGAACTTTTCTCGTTTCGCCAAAGTCACAAAGTTTTATTCTTGAAAAATCTGATTTGAATATAAGAATGTTATCAAGTTTTACATCTCGGTGTACTAAGTCTCTTTGATGAAGATGCTCTAATGCAGCAGACAATTGCTTTGCTACCCTTTTTGTATGAATTTCACCAATTCCAGTGTCAAGCATATTTGATGTAAGGTCACCTGAGAAACAAAACAAGCGTCTTGTTAGATTTGAATTTAAAATAATTTATCAGTATAATATTCCCCTGCAAAAACATAAATTACAAATGTTTTTGTGTACATTTCTATTCTGAAACAACGGTTTTAAGCTAAAAAACAGTGCACTAGTATTCAATACCACATTGACATTAATGAGGGCTGGCACTGGAAATGTGCTAGATTTAATATTCATTCAAATCACACCGTGTTTTGGCTACAATCCAACTTCGAGTATGTGTGGACTGGAGTAAACCGAGCTTGGATTACTCAGCGTTTAAATTTTGATTTCCGAGATAAATTATGAATATTTTACTATAGTCAACATCATAATTAAACATATTATTAATTTATCTTACCTAAAGGTGCATATTCTTGGCAAAATACATAGAATCCTGCCGTCTCGAAGGCAACGTCGAATGTAGTAACAATATTTCTATGCGCACTTAAATGTAAACTATAGTGAAACTCTCTGTAGAAATCTCTAATGGACACGTAGGGTTTCGGTAAGGCTTTTAGGACAATCTCTGTATCTGATGCTCTGTGTTCCACAAGCAAAATTTTTCCGAACCATCCTTCTCCAACTATTTGTAGAATGTCAAATTCTTCTACTAGGCTCACCTATAAATAAACAAAAATACAGTTGAGCAAAAGTGCTGAAGTTTTAATGTCCGTAATAAAACGTGCGTATGCGTATACAAGAAATAAATCTTACTTTTTCCAATTCGAACTCTCTGATTTTGTGAATAGAGCCGGTTAGGGCCCTTCTCGAACCATTATTCATCTTGGAAGCCACAAGCAATTCATTCTTTTATAATCTGGAAAGTGCAATAAACATTTCAACAGTTTTGTAAGCATAGTTTTATAAGGTATTTAAATATTTGGGTATGGCTGTTGCCGGTGGGTCGAATGGGCGTTACAAGTCGTCCCAATTTCTCGTGAAGTCGTTGAGTGAATGCTCTTGGATGAGCGCCAGGACCTGATGTCTACTCCAGATCCAGACGGAGCACCAACGTCACACAGTGACGTCACCTCATGTTTCATAAAGGTACCAGATATTTTATGATGTAATGAAAACATTTTGAGTTATGTTTTTTCTTGGAATTAATTTAATAAAATCTATTTTACATGATTTTACACGAAAAATATAAACTAAAATTAATAAATTAATTTTGGAAAAATATTACATCAAAGTATATTAAGGAGAACTTAAGATAAGAAGTTCCTCATATTGATTGATCGTTATGAAAGAAGCTTGATTTATATCACATTTTCACAAAACCTATCATTTTTATGATCTCGTGCAATATAAACGCGTAACGATGGTCGATGCTCCTACGCATAGCGTCTGTTAACTTTGTAATCTATTGTTAAAATGATCGAATAACAAATCGCTGTTTATCGGTACTAGGTCAAGTAATAAAATATCCACATAATAGTTATCCAGCTGCTATTAATCACACATAGTACGAACAGACTGTTTGTATATGTTTCATGATACAAAACAGAAGTTTCGGAACATTCCAAATGGGTTTCGAGGGTGTACTCTTTAATATATCAGTATTGTTCTCGAATCAAATTGATTTACGTATTTAAATACTTATCATGTATAAGTATTTTTGGCGTTCTTTCATACATAGCGTCTTCGGTTTTGAGTTCATAATATGCATCTAGTTATTGTTTTGAACTACACAGTAAGACCTACATGAATAGTAGAGGCTATGATAAATCATTATGGTATTAGGAATAGAGAGTTGAATACGTATTTACTATTTTTTTTAATTACTAAACTTATTGATTGATAAAGATATTGAAGATATTTTTTGACAGGGATAATAGCCCGATAATTAAGGAGGGAAATATGAAGGTTAGCTGGAAAAATTTCCGGGGGTTTTGAAAATCGGCAATTTCGTAATTGCTTTTTTGGATTTCAATTTGCACATTTGTAACATTCCAGGTAGAACTATTAAAATATTGAAATACAGGCGTAATTCTAAGTTGGTATATAATGTATATGTTACGGAAAAATAGACCCGGTACTAGATTATGTGTAGCGGGTTTGCTTATCAACATTAGTAAAATATATCATAAATGTATAAATATTCGAGTAACATTTTTGCATAGATTTCATTTTGGTTTAAACACATTTTTTTATTGGAAATCTACTGAGTCGACAATCAGTCAAGGATGAAATCTTAATATTTCTAGGTCGATTTCTGCCTTAGACTTAAACTCCATACAGCTCGATCAAAGATCGAGATCGAAAATAAGTTATTAATATAGACCGTTAGTTGATACAATGGCTGAGTGACCTGTTAGTGACTGCTTCGCAACATTGTGCTGGTCCAATTCCGATACAGAATAATTCTAGGCGTGATGTCTCCGTGAAATTCGAAAGAATCTTATAAATGATATTTACAACATTGTTGTATTGGAAAGGTGCATCAACTCAGCTTTGGTTATTAATTGTGTATTTAATTTTAGGTTATTTAAATCTTTATCTTCTAATTATATAGGTAACTATTATAACTATGACGTCTGTAACATTGACAAATACAAAAGTTGAGCCATTAACTCTATACCTCCGTACTTATTGCTAATAGATATATTATATATTTTTTATTCAAAATGATAATGCGACATCTGCTATAGACCTACCGCATCGTATAATTCGTATCAAAGGACCAAATTACTATTTAGTATTACTACTGAGTATCTAAGCACGTGTGTCTGTGATGAACAGTGGTTGTTTTGAATAATAGTTTGTTAAAAACAACCACTAAATATTTTTAATAAAATAGTCAAAAGAATAATAATAGGTACCTAGCAGGCTAGGCCTAACACTATCATTTATCATTATTTCACGCTTGATATGCCATGCACGCCATGTGTTATACGAAATGTATGTTTGAAAGAACTAATAGTAGTAAACCCAATATTTAAAAAATACGTAAGTACGTATGAATAGGATACGTGCTAACTCGTAGCAGGTAGATTCCCAATGAAAACAAATGATTAGTCTAATAGGTGCTGTACGATTTATAAAAGAGTTTCTACTTGAAATTGACGTAGAAGTTAGAATGTTATTTCAGTAATGCAATAATGCAGTTCAAGACTTGTCTATATTAAGATCGAAATACGTAAGCAATGCAAGCTTATTACCAACCGGATATGTGTGCCTAACACTAATAACACCAAACTAATATTTCGACTATTATATTACTTAGGTATGTGTATTTTGGCATGGATTTTATTCACGATCATCAACAGTATGGATTCTGTATGATATTCATAAACATTTCAAGTTTCAACAATCGATTCCATGCCGATTCTTCTAAACGGACACAGCTGTTTTTCTAATTTTGAAATAGAGAAAAGACACTTTTTTCAATATTGTATAGGAAGTTGGTAATTACTCAAGAATGATGTTCTTATCAATGCCTAAGGAGAATATGAAACTTTGGTATTGTAAAAATATTTAGAGTTCATTAACAAATAACAATAATAGAATATAGAATAGCTTTTTAGAATCACCTGGAATTGATTTTGCCTTTTTATAACTTTCATATCAGTAAATACCTCGTGAATGTAATGTATGCGAAAGACATTTTTTCTGTCACTGTTTTCTTATAAAATGCGTGATAATTTGAGAAGTATGCCTGTAAGTATTCTATTGGCAACTTATGTATTACTGACGATTAAAAATAACTTATTTAACCTTGCTAAGCTTCAATGATTTGGTATTTAATTCATACGATATGACGCTGATCGTCGGTCACTGAAGGTGAATTTTACGACCAAATATAGAAAATCTTTCAGCTCAAACTACGGACGAGACGCATGAGGTTAATGACCATAGCCAGCCTACACATAAATACAGAAATGGAAATTACCAAAATTCAAAGGGCAGGCGCCCTTGTTCACATAAGACACACAATACACTTGGATTAAATCTAATCACTTGTACCACTCAAATTTCACGTGCTCTCTACTGTTCATCATAATTTTCATAATCACTTGGTCATAACACTATAAACACATCAGGTAATACAGGGTTTGGTTATCGTAATATGCCGTATATTTGTGGTGCAGGGCGGAACGGGCTGGGCGTGCGGCGGTGGTGTTCCTACTGGCGGCGCGTACGCAGCGACACCCGGGAGGCTATTTTTGTGCTACTGCACATACAAAAATCAATTTGTGACGGAAATGTTACGATCAACGACCTGGTAAGTGAAAACTAGAAGTGCATTTTCTTGTGTAGCGAGAAAGTAATCGGAATTTTCATAATTACTAATAAGAATTGTAGGGGTGTCATCTTTCAGTTTATAATGGGTCTGCCTGTTGTCTGCCGGGTATGTGTATACAGGTAATCACCTAGCCGTAGTTTTTAATAGCTTGTCTGTATTCTACATTATATGAGCTATTAACCTACTAAATAATTATGGCAACGGAAGCAGGTAGGCTACGTTGACGTGGGTATCTGGACATCATCTTACGTCAGTCCCTGTCCAGGTATAAAAAGTATACATGTTCAATAATTTGAAATTTGCGCATATTATAGGTAGTTATAATAATAAATTCAACTGCATGACTTTTACAATATTACGCTTAAGCCACAGAACGGATTTTTATGTATTTTCAAAGCTATAGACCGGTCCTTGGAGTTGGTTTATAATAAGTAAGTAAGTGGTTTGGGATTACCTTTTAAATCTAGTTTGTGTAAAAACTAAACTTCAAAAGTAGTATCCATTCAATTAGAGTGAATCTTTTCTATTTTTTCTCGTTAGACTCATTAGATATCGTATTTACAATTTGACACAGTTATTAGGTAAATAAAATTTCTAACTTTGAAATATTGATTCAAAATCACACCGATATTATGTAAAAATTTTATCAAGTGCGATAAAAATCGTATTTGTGTGTATAAAAATCTACCTACGTATTATAACGTAAATGCAGTGATTTACACATTGTTACATTTTGTGTTGGCATGATATCAAATAGCATTTTTTTATATAATGCACCTCTACGATGGGCATGCGTATAAAATTAATAATGCTTTCATAGATGTAACTATTAATTTTATTTTATTATTTATGAAGTACGCAATTTAAGTGAAAGAAAAATTCAGGGATACATTATTATTTTGATGCATTAGGTGTCCATTGTTCCTAGTTATGTGCAGTCATAGTTTTTTGATTAAGTATTACATAAATTACAAGGTTATTGAACAATAAGTTCGTACCCATGTAAATCATTTTGATTTGAGTGAAAGTAAAATATCATCGTCAGATATATTTCTGAACAAACTTATCTGAGACACTGAATTTCGAATAAATAATTAAAAGAAACTGTTATAATATTATTAGTAACTGATGTATTACTTTTCAACAGCACTATTTTAAAACGAGTATTATTGTCTATGAATGTTCAGGCTCTCTCTTTTACACTAAACTCCATATAGGTACATACGACTGAGATAGCACGTCAAGTGACAATCATAAATTCAAAATGGCTTTTTGACTGTCACCGTTGTTTATTGTGTTGTAAAGTGTCAATGTCAATATTATTTTGAAAAACTGATTTTTGGATGTATTTTTTAGTTGCTGTGTATGTGACTACTTTAAATTATTGAATTTTTTCATCCATAACTTGACACCATTCCATTATGTTTGGTGAGTTTTTGGCACCATTATTATTTTCTTTTTGAGGTTATGTCAATGTTTTGTTATTGTTCGTGTACACGATGATTTTTGATTTGCAGTAAACATTTCAGTAGTAATC